TCGCTGAGCAAACATGCATTGGTGAACTCCTGAGTATTCAGCCTTTCTCACAGCCATGACCTCTATTATCATGCTGCTTGTGGTAGAGACAGAGGCCCCATTGTCTTCTTTAATTACTTTCTCTTTGGTTCTTGTCGTAAAAAAAAAAAACATGAACGATGGGCAGGCAATGTAAAAAAAAAAATACTATCGGTTAGGTATGATTTGTTTTAAAAACAATGCAAAGAATAGCATGGATTAGTTTTTAAAAAAAATCTACGAGGGTTTCTCCTTGAGACAGATGAAAACCGTAATTTTATTAGAAACATTCTATGTGGACAGTCAGTGCTGTTCTGACATGTTATAAAGAGGAGTGGACGGTTATTTAACAACATCCTACAGGACAGTTCCACATTTTAGAGGGTGGTAAGACTAGGTTTCCCGGCTTTCTGATATTCTTAAGGAAACCAAAACAATTAGAACTGACCCTAACCCCAACCCACCTACGTCCCACAAGAGTGTGCAGCCTAGATCCCACGAATGCATGCAGCCTAGGTCCCACAAGAGAGTGCAGCCTAGGTCCCACGAGAGAGTGCAGCCTAGGTCCCACGAGAGAGTGCAACCTAGATCCCACGAATGCATGCAGCCTAGGTCCCACGAGAGAGTGCAGCCTAGGTCCCACGAGAGAGTGCAGCCTAGGTCCCACGAGAGAGTGCAGCCTAGGTCCCACGACTGCAAGCCGCCTATTTACCTTCCCCTAAAATATTACACTGTCCTGTGACCTGTGGATTTCCCCTGTTTGGAGTAGGATATTAGTAAAGCACCAAGTGGACTGGCAAGATTGATGGAAACAGAGCGAGGGAGAGGCAACAAAAAATATCCGGATGGTTTAGCCATATGGATGGGATGAGATGGTTTAGCCATATGGATGGGATGAGATGGTTTAGCCATATGGATGGGATGAGATGGTTTAGATATATGGATGGGATGAGATGGTTTAGCCATATGGATGGTATAAGATGGTTTCGCCATATGGATGGGATGAGATGGTTTAGCCATATAGATGGTATGAGATGGTTTCGCCATATGGATGGGATGAGATGGTTTAGCCAAATGGATGGGATGAAATGGTTTAGCCATATGGATGGGATGAGATGATTTAGCCATATGAATGGGATGAGATGGTTTAGCCAAATGGATGGGATGAGACAAGAACACTTGATTCGTGATTCTGGTGATTATGTGAGATGGCGAAACGTGACAGCCTACCTTTTGTGTACGGCACGTGATGATGATTATAATGATGTGATTGTCACATATCATTCCTGTCACGTGCCTGATTTAAGGATTTCTCCTTAAGAACTAACAGCACTCAGAAATAATTATGTTGAGTCGTTTGGCTCGTATTGGTCTAAGGGATGCCCCATGGCCAATATACGCTCAACTTATTTCTGAAGTAGGGCAACTCAAGTTTTGGCACTACAAAATATACCTGTATATGAATACAATATTCCTAGGCACACTTGGCTGGACACCACCACTACTATTAAAAGAAAGCCCCCAGGTTATGATAGTTCATTATCATAACCATGTTAACACATATAATATTTATGATTCATAAACACACACAAATGATAAACACTTAGAAAGGTGAAATAGAGACACCTAAGTCAGCCATGAAACTGAATGCATGTAATCATTACAACATATACATATATATAATAGTGAAGTAGATGCCAGATCTCAGCGGATGGATCCCAGAATACAATGACCAGACTTAACAGAAATCTAAACAATCAGAAAGTCCTGGAGGAAGCACATCTTTTCATCCTCGGAATCAATTTGGAGCTGTGGGGAATATAGCAAGACATGGAATTAAACTGGCATTTATCCTCTTTATATCGTTGATGCTTCCCTCAGCTCCTGATGATTCGACTGTCTTTGACTCTGGTAATTCTGCTTCAAATGGATCAGGTAGTGGAAGAGTACCTCACCATAGAGGACACAGCAACTGTACTGGTACTCAGCAAGTCTCTACCACCAGTCAGGTCACAACACTGTCTCTGAGCTACACCAAGCTCTTGCACTGTTAGGCTGTTTGGGGTATATGGCACCCCATACTGATGATATCAGGAAACTTCACAGGTGTTAGCTGGTGGGTAGTTGGTTGATAGTTGGTTGATTGATTGATGGTGGGTGTTGGTTGGACTGTGATTTTTCTGCCAGCTCTTCACATAGGTTTCATCCCAAGCATAGTCCTAGACATTTCAGGCCGCCTTCTTACATTGCAATTTTCTGAGGCGTCGATGGATACAACTGATCTCCAGGAAAGCCGGCAGAAACAATGCCGCAAAAATTCAAGTCAGGCGTCGGTAAGAAGAAGTTCCTTGTATACATGAGCAAGGAGTAAACCGGTTTCCAAGAATATTCAATTAACTCCAGTAATATTTATCATACAGTTGCAAATTTGAAAATGACGCTAAGTCAAAGCAACAAGAAGATGCAGATATTATAATTTTCTCCGATAAAGGCATATATCGATATAAGGGACTATATACCTTCCCGGACGAGTCCAAGTTTGAAAGTTTTGTCGAGCACAGGTAATACAGGTCCCGACTCTTTTAGGGTGATGTGTAATGGCTTGTCATTCCTTGACAGTGATGATAATGATAATGAGAACATCATGGACACATAACAAGAGTATTGTGCCGTGATGTTGCTTCGTTGTATCAACCATAAACCATAACTGAATATCTCTGGAAGAAAAGTAACAATGAGAGGTGATTAGCTATATCAAAAGGCTTTGTCTTGTTTTGCGGGAAAAGAAATATTGTCACGTTCAACCACCATCCCCAGAGGGGAAGCTGTTGATTATAATTGTGACTTGGTTTCTTGCGCCCAATAAAATTACCTAACATTGCGCGCCACCAAGTAGTCATGAAAAGGGCTCTTGTAATGTTGATGCGATCATGTGAGGCAGACCCAAAACCCACCCGTGGACGACGAAGCCGTCTATTGGCCAGGCAGTGGGCATCTACAGGAGCTGTATTCTTAAGGGCTAGCCATGAGGCGGAGAAATCTGAAGTACACTGACGGTGGGAAAGTTGGTTAGGTTCAAGTTAGTAGCCCCAAACAAAGTAGGTCTTGTTTTATTCACAAGTTTCTTGTGCTGATCTACTTTCATGCAGGTTACGGGTGTGCAGCTCTGTTGTTTTGCTGTCTGGGTTGTCTTGCATTTACGTTTTTATTCCGAGAAACAGAATGCCTGTTACATAGGTTGCAACACTGTCTAGGAGGGTTGTGCTAGACCCAGTTTGTCCATGATTTTGGAGTGTTGAAAGCGTCGGTGTGCTGAAATATACAACACGCAATATCAACGGCATTGCGAAACACCCCCGTAACCTTGCGCCAAGGATACGAGGCTCAGAGTCTACAATCAGAAATTAGCTAGTGTATATATGGGCGGTCCGTGGGGGAGACTAACGTTAGTTTAACCGTAAAGTTAATTTGGGGGGAAAGGGGGGGGGAGAAGAAGAGACAGACCAAGAGAGAAGAGGCTGCACAGTTTGGTGTCGTGGCATGGATGATGATTATCCTTCAGAAATAACAGAAAAGTACATAAGATAGAAGGCTGCGGATAGACTTGACTACCAAAGCCACACAACATATGCTGTGAGAACCTTGTTGTTTACGAGTTGAATTTTCCCTTGTGGGTTTGCAGCATGAATAAAACAAACATTATCCTCGTGTATGTTCAGCGGTTCAGTTTGGGGTGGGGGATAGACCCACTACCCTTTAACAAGCTTGTCGTTAAAGTCTACTAATTAGAGGTGTGTCATTCGAAGTAAATTCCAGCAGAAAGTCCCAGTTGCTCCTCCACTTCCGGGCTTTCCGTCTTGTTCCAGGACTTAAATTTTGCTAAGGAAGCTTCTGTCCCGTTTACGAACCTACCTACCTAGGATGACCGCGGAGAGGCGTAGATCTTGATCGGTATAAGCGCTAGTGTTGCTATATCATCACTTGTGACTTAGCACCCCTCACACTTTTTCACTGCCTCTCTTACTCTCACTCTCACTCACGCTCTCTCTCTCTCTCTCTTTCTTTCTCACTGTCTCTCTATCGCTCTCGCTCACTGCCACTCTTTCTCCCTCTCTCACTCTCGCTTACTGTCTCTCTCTCTCTCTCACTGCCATTCTCTCTCTCTCTCTCTCTCTCTCTCATTGTTTCTCTCTCTCACTCTGTCATTCACTGTCACTCTCTCTTATATTGTCACGGTCTCTCTCACTCACAGTCACTCTCTTTCTCTCTCTCCTTCTCTCTCTCTTTCACTCTCTCTCTCTCTCACACACACACACACACACACACATACGCACGCTCTGTCTCACTCTGTTACTGACTCACTTTCTGACTCGATTTTAGGTTATTTATCAATTGCTTCATGTTTTGATAAGTACACATTGTTATTGATAAATTATATTGTGATTTGATAAGTGCACATTGTTTTTGATTAATTATATATTGTGATTTGATAAGTGCACGTTGTTATTGATTAATTATTTACTGATTTGATGAGTGCACATTGTTATTGATTAATTATATCGTGATTTGATAAGTGCACGTTGTTATTATTTATATCGTTGTCTGATAAGTGTTCAAAATGTAAATGGAATTATTATGGATTAGTTATATCCTGATTTGATAAGTGTAAATGAAATTATTATGGATTAGTTATATCCTGATCTGATAAATGTACGTAGAATTATTATGGATTCGTTATCTCCTGATTTGATAAGTGTACGTGGAATTATTATGGATTATCATGATTTGAAAAGTGTAAATGGAGTTTTTATTGATTACTCATACCACAGTATGTGACTGTGTATTTTTAAGAAGTTGAATAGTTCTAAATCTCGTTTTGATTCCCCCTCCCCCCTCCCCCCCCCCCCCCCCCCCCCCCCCCCCCCCCCCGCGGTGTGTGTATAGCTTTTTGCAGCTCACTAATTTTGCCTCCACGGTTTCAGATGGAGTGTGTATGGAACTGCCAAAGAGCCATTCTGAACTGGTTCTACAGATACGGCTTTTTCCTGGCCAAACACCCTTTTTGGTTTCTGATCATCCCAATTGTGATATGTGTTGCCCTGGCTGGGGGCTTCGCGTTTTTAGACCACAATGAAGACATAGGTGAGTCGTTTTTGTGCGTTTTATGTTAACTAAGAAGGCAAAAAATTAAATCCCGCGTTGAACTGCAGGTTACCTCGTAGCGGGCGAGAGAGTGAGGTCGACGACATTGTGAAACACTTCCTGATTTTAAACTAAATTATCGCACAAGTTAAGTCACTCTTGCATCATTTCGTTCAACAAACCAAAGAGGAGCAGAAACTTTCGCGCCATTTAGAAAAAGACGGGAGCCGCGTTAGCGCAGCCGATAGGAGGCTCGCTTTCAAATCTAGCTGCGACTCGCTGCAGCCACGGTCGGTGTTCGAAACCGGTTCTCCCAGCCTCTAGGAAATTGGGACCAGAGTGACACTCTGGGGTAAATGGAGGAACGTCGCTGAAGCTACAGAGTTACGAGCGGACTGGGACTCAGGCAGAAAGTTTCTTATCAGCTGTCTGTACTGGTGGCAGAGCGCTTATGGTTTTTAACCGTGTGCAATGACGCTGGTTCACATCTCCTGACCCGTTTAACAGCTCCTTAACCTATAGACACCGTTAGTTATTTTCTTATAGGTTGCCACTTTTTTTAAGCCCCACCCTGGCTCTTGCCAGGGGCCGCAATATAGCCTGGCCATAAATATGGTCTAATGGCTGAACGCGGTTACCGGGACCTCTCCACGGGAGATCCTCACCCACATGGTGGCACTTTGTGTCATCGCGTGTTTATCACTTGTGTGATGTCCTGGTGTGGTAAAATGTACTACTACTACTAGACACTATTCTCTGCTCCTATTGCCCTAGATCCTTTCCAGCACGTACTGGGCTTATAGATCATCTCAGGACTCACAGACAGTCAAGTATAGTTTCATGACGAAGGGACGAAAGAGTGTCATCATCGGTTATGTTTCATCACCAACAACAACAACTTCGTAACGGTAGATGTGTTACAACTCGGGCGGTACCAAGACAGTCACCAAAAGTCCCTTAATTTTGACTGACAGGATCTACAGCCTGCACAGTCCGTGGCGACAACACTAGCTATGCGGTCCTAAATCCTACGGCTCAACGACTTCCTTGCCTACACCGTAAAAGTGGTAATTACAGGCAGTTTAAAAAAAAAAAAAAATAAATAGAAGATCTACTTTCTAAACTTGCTGCGCCCTCATACACGAACTGCACTAACCCACTGGCCTTAGATATCCCTTTAATTTCTGTCTCATTGTGTTATTTTAACTTCATCAGATTCAAACATTTATTAGTTTCAGCAGCAGCTTCTAAAGATAAAATGAGAGTAATGATCAACTTTTTCACCCTATCTCGTCTGGTGTGAGATTTCATAGGGAATTCCCCGGGACAGTCCTACAATCAATCGAGGTTGGTAAAAAAAAAAAGGGGGGGGGGGGGTTGGTTAGTCGCTGTTTATTTAACACTAATCCTGAAACACTACAATTCCTATATTATCTATGTATAATGTGTTGCTTGTTTTTGCCTTTGTTATTGCTTATCACTTTCGTTCGTTCCTCGCCTTGACTATGCCCTGAGTGGCAGCGCTGTTCGTACTTACTTCCTGATTTGCTCTTCGGCATGAATTTTCTTAACCTGTCAATATTGCTGCATCTAATCCTAACGCTTGAACAGTCGTTTAGAGAATAGGACTGTCTAGGGAAGTTCTCTACAAAATCTCGCACCAGACGAGATGGGGGTAAAAAAAAAAGTTGAAAAGTACCAAAATGGATCATAGTAAAACCTACCTGGGACTGACAGAAGTGGTATGACAGCGTTACGCAGGTGAACTGTTTCTAGGATTTGCTTCTGTTTGTTTCTCCTCCTCGAGGTGTTCATCCTACAGACAAGAATCCTAGATGGGAACAGTGAATACAATCACCTAACAACAAAGAGGAAACAAAAATAGGGCGACAGCACCATGTTCTACATAATAAGTCTCAGATTGTTCATTACTCATTGGCTACACACTTCCAGTACGCTGGATTTGGTTTCAGACTCTATTCTTTGATTCGCCAGTACATGTGTTTGGTGATGTGTGCACGTCGTCTCTGGGGCATCTCAGGTATGCACTCTATTTGGTGCTGTCGACAGGCAACTAGTCGCGCTGCGGAGAGAACGAAAGAACAAGCTTTGTTTTCAAAGGGTTAAGAAATGGGCACACAGGCCTGTCTTACATTCTGCAATTTGGCCTCACTGCATGCATACAGTATTCCAGTCACACATCATTCTAGCAGATAATAATAATAGTAATAATAATAATAATAATAGACATCATCCACAACATATTAGTTACTAATGTCTCTAAGTATACCTACATTTTAAAACAATTATAATACTAAGAATATTTCATCTTGGTGAAAATCAAAAATATGCTTAGCATCCTATTATCTACTAAGAAGGCATGCAGTCTGTAGTGAGTTAATATTCAAAAAGCTTCCAATTATTTATAGAGGTTGTTATTTTTGATTGGTTGTGAAAGTTGGTTCCATGGTTTAGCTGCAGAGTACACTAAGCAAAAGAAAGACAGGGTGAGAGAGAGGGGGAGAGATAGAGAGAGAGAGAGAGAGAGAGAGAGAGAGAGTCAGCGGGATAAGTTGAGGACCCTTTTCCACGCCTTTATGTATATTGAACATAGAGGGTTACACCTGTAATTTATAGACCAAGCAGCACTCAGTGTGGGATGTGGTCAGCATCATTGGTAGGGGTCTCTGAAGCGGTCGGGACTGACCAACATATGTTTCATATACGTGCCAGAGAATGCAGGAGTGCAAGAAAATGAGCAAGCTGATAGGCTTACAGGTAAAACTACTGTGGAAGGCGGACAAGCCATGGACCAGACCAATATTCTAAATGCTATACGAGAAGCAAGACGTTTGAAAGATTCAAGTAATAAATGTTAATCTGCAACCAGGACTAGACTGCAAGAACAGTATATTTAAAGATATGTGACCAGACAAGAGCACTGTGCAGAAAGTCAAAGAAGAATAAGACACCAACACAGAACCGGGGTTGTCAGTCGCTCTGCGCTGTGGGTTTTACTGAGGAAGGGAATCAAGCAATTGTGGACTGAATGGGTTAATGTGCTATGAGAATAATCTGTCAACTAACTAACTAACTAGCTAACTAGCTAACCAACTAACTAACTGTAGCCGGGCTGCGACGAATACCTTGATTTAGTTTGATTAGCAAATGCGAAGAAACATGGCCACTGAGCATAAAAAGGCCAGCGCTCACGAGACGGGTCTCATTTTGGTTTTCTGGACTGAACCCACCAGCGCTCGAGGGGCAGAAGACCTTGCTCATCCAGCAACTGATGGACGATACTACATGTGTTCAGCAGCACGTGTTTGGGTGACTGCGTGGGGATGAACGGTTAGTCTGGTTTGTTGAAAATAATAATGGTGGTAAGTTTTCTATAGTGGGCCCTAAATTTGTCTCAAGTAGTTAGACTGTTTTGGAACGACACCTTCTACTTGATTTATCGATAAACAGCAGATCAATTGGTTTGGCCATCTCGTTAGAATGCAGCAAGATCAAATACCATAACAAGCACTACATCTCGGAAGATCAGCTATAAGAGCAAGAGGACGGGCGCTGAAACTATGGATCGACAACTTTAAAGACGCTCTACACTTTAACGGCATGACAAAAGCACATATCAGTGTGTATCAACGCTCAGAGATATTTGATTTTATGTCTCTAGAAGCGAACTTTCATTTATGTTAGTTGGTGCTTAATGCATGTGTAGACACGACCTGGATGGCTGTTATTGGATTTTTCGTGTGAACAGCGCTTAGTTTTGTGTTCAGTAAAATAAACAGATGTTCAGTGTAATAATTATAGTTCCAGTTGTTTTGACTAAGTGTGCCTAGTTTACTATTACTGCTATCTAGACTCTATACAAAACATGTCCTGTCTAAGTAAGTCAGCATTGCCTTACCCCCGCCTAAACGAACCTTTTTTCTCGTTTTTTTTTTTTTTTTAGTTACTGTGGCAGCGAAATGTTGGGTTTTGGCTTCCACTCGCAATGTGACATTATTTGTTATAACTCCTGTAGATTTGGAGTCGGGGAGTGTTAAAGGAGTAGGTTCTCACATTATCCTTATCCTCTTTATAATTATCTCCTCTCCTTTCTACTATTACAAGATACCCCTTTCGCTTTGCTTCTAGTATATAACTACTAACATGAGAGTTCTTTACATTTCTTTAACAGAATACCTCTATGCACCGAGTACTTCCAGATCAATCGATGAGCGGGAAGTTGTCAAAAAGACCTTCCCGGATTTGTCTGATGACAATTTCAGCCCATTTAGTCTGAATACGCAAATACCACAATCACAAATCATCTTTAGAAGCAAGCAGGAAGGTTCCATCTTAACGGAGGAGGTGATGAATGAATTGACCGTAAGTGTTGTGGAGTAGTAAGGAATACCTTGTGTCTCATGACTTCTTTTTGCTGCTTTTTGTTGTGTTATTTTATATTATTAGGATATCCAATAACTATGAGTGAAAAGAGACAGATTATAAACAGCATATTTTTTCCAACATTAAGCTACAAGTGCCAAACATGCACACTATCTAAAGCCTAAAACGCAAAAACACCCCCTGCGAGATGAGATGCCTGAGAAAAGCAGCCAACCTAACCCTCCGAGATCGAGCGAATGACACTATCAAACAAATTGTGGGAACGACACCTTGTACTAGATTCATCGAGAAACAGCAGATCAAGTGTTTGGCCATCTCGTTAGAATGCAGCAAGATCAAATACTATCACATACACTAAATGTCAGAAGATCAGCTATAAGAGCAAAAAGACGGCCGCGACAATATGGATCGACAGCATTAAAGACGTTCTACACCTTCACGGCATGACAATAGCCAGTTGCAGCCATCGTTCACTGGATCGCAAATTATTCCTTCACACGGCGCTTAACGGTGGTTTATGATTATGATGATGTTTTGTTATTCTGTCTTTTCACAATCGACGTCACTGCCCATGGGGCATTCCTACCCGTGCTCAGTCGTTTGATGCAGAAGTCACCCCAAGGTACTTGTACTGATTGTTTCCATGAGAGGTTGGTTATAATGTCTCCTATATCGGCCTCGAAGGGGGCATAGACGTGCTTAACAATGCTTTACTCCCATGTCACGCAATCATATTAGTATAAGAAATTCATTTTTATCCATTAGTTCAGTCCAGAGAGAACAACTTTCTTCTTCACGTTCACCAGCTGTAAACTCTGGCGGAAAGTTCTAGACTTAAGTCTTGTTCCAGAATCTGAGTGTTGCACATCCCTTTTACATACATATCTGACGTATTGTTATGTACCTTGTTGGATCCTTGCCTCTCAGTTAAAGGCACTCCGACTTCGAAGGAAGTTCCCAATTAGTCGACACGTACGGCATACTTGTTGGGAAGGCACTGGGTCTGTTCTTGTTTTCCCTTATAATAGGGCCCCTGTAGCCAAACGGGGAATGTCTCATATAAACTTGTGGCTTACGTATATTGAAAATGTTTAATGTGTATAAATTCCTGTATTGCTGAAGCAAATCTCCTCTGACTTCTGTGTTTCCCCGGAAAAAAAAGACCGCGTCTTATAATAATTTTTGCTGTACAAACATACATACATAAGTGCATTGATGTTGGGGGTTGTCACTATTACCAGATTATATCCTGGCTTTGATCCTTGCGTTTTCTTTCATATTCTAGCAAACATCATTGCTTCATGTGACCTTATCGCACATGTGCACAGCTACCAACTTGAGAAACAAACACAACAAATGCGAACGCAGACAATAGACTGCACAATTTATTGCCTGGCATATTTCGCTGTATCTCGTCAGGTGCATTTCTCAGAGTTAAATCACTTTTGAGTGAAGCACAAAATGAATCTGTTTCAGTGAAATACAAAAATCACAATGTTGTTGTCATGTTAGCTGTATATCTCCCCGGTTGACTTACATCCATCGAAGGGAGAATGTTAAATGTTGAATTAGGAATCGACATCATAACACTCGGGACACTCCTCAAAGCGCCCCGTCCCCATCTTCAGCAACAAACGAAAGGAGAGACAGTTTGAAAACAGAGTGGCCGTACATATCGATAAGGATTGTGCCTTCAGAACTATTTACCACATATCTGCTGTTTTATGTAAACAAAAAGACCACATAATAAATTTAATACCATAGCAGTCATGTTGCTTATCTTAAATTTCTGGTGGGGTGTTGTACAATGAAAATGTGATTGTGACTTCAGCAAAAATGATTCATGTTTAACTTTATTTCATGTTGATTTATTTGCAGTAGTGCACCTATCCAGACAACAACGAAACAGACCAGGCAATAAATTGTGCAAGGAACTAATTCTGAACGCATTAATTAAGTATACAACAGGAAAACATTGTTGTGAATAACGCAGATTATTTTTATTATGATCACCAATTACAATTCCTTAGCATTTCAGTTATAAGTAAATAAACTAATGATCCCTTTTCACGCCTTTAGGCGTATCGGGTATATGGGAAGAGCACCATCGGTATATGGCATTATTATATATATATATATATATATATATATATATATATATATATATATATATACACACACACACACATTTATAGAAGCGTATATGTGTGTATGTGTTCTTATTTCCTCTTTTGTCAATATTTGCCTATGCTGCTAGTCGTTGCAGTTCATCAGGCGATCGTCAGCTGAGCCAGGGCGCGCTCAGTCGTTTCATATGCTGTGATTCATTGCAGTCTCAACGTGTCAGTGACTCCTTCAATCCATATTCATCTCGGTCTTTCCCTGCCTCTTGGTGTTTTGATTTTCAGGTTGTACGCTCTTGTTGCTGGCATCGTTAGTTTCATTTTTATTTGATGGCCAGACCATTTCAATCTTTGTTTCTCAGTCAATTTGACGATGGGTGGGTGTTGTTCCAGCAGTTCTTGTAATGACATCGTTTCTCACTCGATCTCTCTTCATTTTTTATTCACAGGGAGTCTCAGACATCTCATCTCCCAGGTGGTTAGTTTTCCTTCGTGTTTCTTTGTCATTGTCCAAGTCTGACATTGGTAACGTTCGTAAAAATATTGTATTTATAATTTGCCTTTTTGTCTCCTTTTGGATAGTAGGGTGTTTTAAAACTGGAGCAAGTTGATTCGTGACATTGCCTGTGCTCTTCAATGTGTACACAGCAGGAGTCACTAGTGCACAACGCGTAGGCCTAGGCAGAACAATGTCGTATGCAGATGATATCCTTGTTTACCGTCGAGGTAAAAACAGGCAGGAAATTACAACCACACTACAACACGAACTAGACAGACTTAGTGAGTGGTGCCAGGAATCAAGAGCTCATGTGAACCCGTCCAAAGCCTCCTTAACATGGTTCTCTCTGAATACCCACATCGTGAGTACACCAACGCCAGTCGTAAGCATCTGTGGTGTGGACATCGAGAGAACGGACACCATGAAATACCTGGGCATGACATTTGACAGATGCTTGTCATACAAATGCCACGTAGACAACGTCATACTTAGAGCCAGGAAAGGTTTGACAGCACTCAAGGTGCTAGCAGCAGCTGATATTGAACAACGTCTACTTTTCCTTCTCTATCAAGGGCTTGTGCTTAGCGTCATTGACTATGGTCTTGGCCTCCTCACTGTCAGCAAAACCCAGCTAGAAAGACTGGACCGAGTACAGAATGAGGCCATGAGACTCATACTCGGCTGCACAAAAGACACCTCCTGCAACGCCATGCGTTATATCCTGGGTCTGCCGACTATGACAAGCAGATACAAAGTGGCACAGGTCAAGGCTTACATGAGGGTATCGGCAGATGTTAACCACCCATTACACAAAGCTATTCACGACACAAAAGGAACGCGTCTCAAAAGGGGCCGCTCTTGGATGGCAAAGGCTGAGGACTTAATCCAGCAGGTATGTGACCTAGACGTGATCAGCCACGGAAAAGAATGGACGAATACACCAGTAGACATGCATGGCATCTCTAAGGTTGTCATAACACTCGGAAGGTACTGCAGGGATCAAATTCCTGCGGCGGTAGACACAGAACTAAGGGAACTGATAGATCAGCATTCAGACCCAGAAGATACCATCATCTACACAGATAGATCCGTGAAGCGCGGATCAAGGTCAGCATGGGCATACACAGCGCAAAGAAAGGGGAAAACAATACATGAGGACAGCGGCGCTTACCAGACAACCACGTCAAGCATGATAATGGAAATAGCCGCTGCTTCTAGAGCTTTAGCATGGGTATCCGAGCAAACCGCCACACAGGTAGTAATTGTCTCAGACTCAATGAATATGCTTCAGAAGATAGCAACAGGCAGTATGCGCTCTGAATGGAGAGAAAGCATCAGGAAATCGCACTTAGCCTCCGTAACCTGGATCTACACACAGGGTCATGCGGGCGTGAAGGGAAATGAGCGAGCAGACCAACTGGCAAGCACTGCACTAATGATTGCGGGGAAAAGTATGGACAGAGCAGACATAGTCAACGCTGTACGAACTGGGCTAGTGGAGAATGAGGAATGCCTGACACTAACACGATTGCGTGACATGGGAGTTAAGCATGGTGATGCACGTCTTTGCCGTCTTCGAGGCCGAGAAAGGAGACAATATAACCAGCTTCTCGTGGGGACAATTAGTAGAAGTACTTTAGAGTGGCTGCTGCTTCGGAGAACTTAGCACGCATGGGTATGCCCAATGTGCAGTGACATTAATTGTGATAACAGAACATAAAATAACATCTTAGTAGGGAGTCGGCAGTACGAAACCCAAGTTCAAGGTGTCTCCTTCGTGCCAAAGAACTGCATGGCTGTTGGGTGAACAGTCGTTAACGATGGCAGGCAGGTCGTTGTAGGGGCGACGCCTGCTGGTGGATGTTATGTCCTAAGTCCCTTCCCCAGCTAATAATGAGGGTACTGCTGGGGTGACCGTTTATTAACCCTCATATAATTCTTCCGGTCAAAATGGACGCTAGGTACGGCCACCCTTTTTTTTTTTTTTTAAAGCCGTGGCAAATATTTTTTTTCCAGACGGTGGCCGTTGCATTTTTGCTCCATTTGTAGACTGGAAGGATGTAGTTTCGTCGCCCAGCTTCTGAGTTGAGTGCATGGCGTGACACTGTGAGCTGCGTTTGTTTTGCGTTGGCACAGGAGCGGAGCATATGTGGGGTGACCCGTTTGCTATGAAGCTGAAACTAGGATTACCAGATTACCAGATTACGTGACATTGCTGGTTGTTGGATTCTCGCTTCTATCTCTCTGTCTATTTTACCATTATATGTAACGATGCTTCCCAAGTATTCAAATTCTTGCACGTGTTTCAGACTTCCATCGTTGATCTTTATTTTGAGATAGATTGTTGTTCTCTACATATTCTCATGACTTTTTTTTTTTTTTTTTGCAATATTGATCTTCATGTGATACGTAAGGCAACTGTCGTGTAGTTGGTTTATGTGGTCCAGCAGCTGTTTACTGTCACTCTGGAATATGCACTGATTGTCGGCAAAGAGCAGCTCATTGAATTCCTTCTATTTTTCGATATCTGGTGGTGCTATGTCTTTTTTAAAAATATTATCCATAAATGTTATAAAAAATAAAGGTGAAAGAACACACACATCCTTGCCTTACTCCTGATGTTACTGGGAACCAGTCAGTGAAGCCAGCTCTTGATCTGATAGCACTTTCACCTTCTCTTTAAACAATCTAGCATTGTTCTGTTTATATCATAGTCTTCAGGGACATCGCATAGTAAATCTCTATTCACTTTGTCAAAAGCCTTTTCTTGATCTTTTAAAGCGATGTCCATTTGGTGTCTGTGTTCTATTGTCTTTTCGCTGATTTTTCTTATGGGGAAATAAACGTTACCCTCTTTCTTTCCCAAATCCGACCTCTGCTGGGCTCAAAATCGGTTCTACAACAGATCTGATTTGTTGTTCCAGAATCTTGGCAAAAACTTTACCTATCTGGCTTACCAGGGTGATGCCTTTATAAGTGTTACAATTTTGTTTATTGCCTTTTTTCCCCCATATTGGTACTAAAATGTCTCTTTGCCCGTCTATTGGTACAGTTCTTTCATTCCAGGCTTTCCCAAAACTAGGAAGTAGCCAAGTGACTTCAGTTTCTCCACAGGTCTGTATTGCCTTAGCTTAACTCCATCAACACCAGTGACCTTTTTCTGTTGGGTCTGCACCTGATTGGTTGTCTGGCCTCTTGTTGGGTTATTCCAGGCTCCTGTGTATATGTGGGTGTGAATGGTACTGTTCCTTAATTTTCTGTTACGTTCAGAAGCGTTTGGAAATATTCTTTCCACCTTTCTCTGACCTTACCCTCTTCATGTCTGGGTCTTCCTTGACTGTCATTAACATATTCTGATGGTTGAATTGGGTCATCTCCGGTTCTCATTTTTGCAATGTTTTTTGTAAAACTGTCTACTAGAATTAGCTCCAAGTTTGGTAAGATTGTCCCCACACATGATCCAGGATGTTTCCTTGGCTTGTTTGATTTCTCTTACAGATTGTCACCTTGCTACTCTATATAGTCGTCATCTCAGCGGGATCTCAGCCATTTCTTGAATTTCTTCTTTTTAATTTTCACTCTTTGTTTTACATTATCATTCCACCATGCTGTTCTTTTCTTCGGTGTTTCTCGTGTCTGTCTGATATACTGTCACTTGTTCTTAGCTCCCCCATCTTCACCGTCATTTCTGCTCTATCCTTTACTTGTTTGTCTAGGTCGCTTAGTTTTCTTATGTCAGTCATTGTGGCACGTATTGCTGTCTTTGACTTTTTGCTGACTGCAATGTTTATAGAAACTGTTGGTATTATAAACCCCATACTTTGCACACAGTTCTAAGATACGCTTATATGCATGTATGTGTGTATATATATATATATATATATATATATATATATATATATATATATATATATATAGTAAGTAGAGTAAAGATCCCCTTTCACGCCTTTAAGGCATTTGGGAAGAGCACTCATATTACTAGGTGGGTAATGTGGTCAGCATCACGCCGGCCGTCTTTACTTCCCCAGGACAATCATTCTGGTACCAGTTTTAGGCTGGGTCGACCTGCGACGCCTTATACTATGATAAAATCCCATGCAACCAGCAGTGGGTTTCGGTCGCTGTACGTTGGATTTACGAGTCGGACTCGCAACGCCTAAGCCACGGACGCCGCTGTATTTATATATTTATAAGCGCATGTTTGATTAAATCTTTGAAAACTGATAGTGCCTTGAGAATGCAAGCAATGTTGATTAGCATAAACAGTAATGATTTATTCCGTTATAGAAACTGATTATTTACTGAGCAGAACGCTGTGTGCTTATTTCTCCCCAGCCTTTCTACCGCACACTAATCACGATGAGTGTCATGTCAGATGGACAGAACATTTCTTTTGCCGATATCTGCAAGAAACAAAGAGACCAGTGTGTAATATATGGTGGTTTCGTCTTTGATGAGCATTTCCTGTGAGTTTAGCAATTATCATACTCCTTTAGTAATTTATTTATATCATCATCCACTTGCACTTTTGAGTGTAACATTACAGTCTAGGTCAGTCATTTATATTTATCACCATCATTCGCTAGCACTTTTGCCGTAAATGAGGAAGGAAGGGCGTAAGTGGAAAAGGGAGGGGGGGGGGTTCGCAGCCCAGTGTTCTGTAGGAAGCTTTAGTTCACATACGTTGCTGGAACATCAGAGTCTGGGCTTTGTGTGGCGCTCTCTGCATGCAGCGATAAAGACGATTGTCTCAGCTTAAACATTACCAAAAAAAAAAAATAATGCAAAGTTTGATACTTTGTGTTTAATTCACCTCAAAAAAGGAAGTTTTGGAATTTCCGGGAAAATCGAATAGTCTAGGAGTATTATGGATTAAGTTTAATGTTAGGGTCTGTGTCGGTCCCGCCGCCTGAGAGACACTGACTAACCCTACCCCTAACCCTAATCCCAGTCCAAACAACCCCTAGAATATAGGACTTGTCCGGGAACTCCGGGATTTCCTTTGTTTGAGGCGGGGGAAAAAATTACCCAAAGGTTTTCCTCTTGGGCAGTCATGCCTTTTCACATCTTGAGATATCCACCTGGATGTATAACTTTATATGCTGACTCCATACCGCTGTTGGAACCTATGGACTCAGACCCCATTAGCGTCCCATCCCCTCTTCCTTTCCCATAATCAATTTAAATGTGGGGCTAAGGCTGCGTGGATTTTTATCATGGTATGGGGCATCGCAGGTCGACCCAGCCTAAAATGGGTACCAGGATGGCTGTCCTGGGGAAGTAAAGACGGCCGGCGTAATGTTGACCACATTACCCATCCAGTGCCGATTGGTCTGTACAAATATTGGACGCTCTTCCCATATACCCGATGCGCCTAAGGCGTAAAAAAGGATCTTTACTTATTTTTTTTAATTATTATTAACAAGAGAGCTTAGTGCAGCGGCTCTCAACCTGCGGGTCGCGACCCTTTTTTTGGGGTCGAACGACCCTTTCACAAGATTCGCATGAAAAAATCGGAAAACATAATTCATTGAAGTTATGAAGAAAAATTTTTTTTTTTTGGGGGGGGGGGGGTATCTGTACTGAAGGGTCGCGGCATTAGAGGTGTTTAGAACCACAGGCTTAATGGTTCTTCTGACCGAGCACATGTGTTCTCTTTGTTAGTGTTTCCTTGCACATTTCAAATTAATTGAAATATATTATTATATGTGTTTGCTTTTCGGCATACAATTATTGCTATTATTGTGCACTTAAATAAGGCACAACTGAGTCCCGCCCCCAGAAAATTGTAAAGAGGCAGAGTTCCTCCATCCTCACCCTCAAGCATATTTTCTTGTTGACATCTCCTGCTGCTATCCGTACGACTACCCAAAACTGTCAAGAATGAGTTGACTTGAGTTGAGTCAAGAATCGATATCACAGCACTCAGGCATTCCCATGTGTGCTTCGTCCTCATCTTCAGCAGCCAGCGCAGAGTTCCAATACGGATAGTACTGGTCATAATCTGGTTATGTGTCCGTCTTGCCTTTCCTCTGAGTATAGTGAGCGGGGCAGACCCTCTGGTTACACCCAGTGCCTAATTCTCTCCAGACCATAATAATCTTGTTTATCTACTGATTCCGCTGCTTGTTCCCAAAGGGCGGCTGTCAAGAAGTAACTAGCCTGCTTCCACTATGTCTCTTAAAATCAAAGAAATTCACACAATTCAGTTATCTTTTTCCCTGTGCGGGTTCCGGGGCCCTTTTATCGGGACAACCAGAATAGACCCATTGGCTCCCCAAAAACATGTTTAATAATTGGCAGCTTTCTTTAAAGTCGGAGTGCTTCTGCCTGAGAGGCAAGGAACCAGCAGTCTGCTCACAAATGAGTCACATCTGTAAAACGGATGCATACGCAACTTTAAGGTTCTGGAACAGGACTGCAGTGCAGAAGTGGATGAACAACCAGAGCTTTCCGTCAGAGTTTACAGCTGGTGACCGCGAAGAAGAAGAAGAGGTATTCTCTTCTTGTAAGATGACCCAAAAAGGCAATTGGCTTCTTCTGGTCCCACTGTGCTTGTGTCTGAACCTGTTGCAAAAGATTTCCATTACTGATTTTAGCTGTCCAAGGAATTTGCAGAATTCTTCGGAAACAACTTTAGGGTCTCAGTCTTTTTTTTTCCTTATACTTATCGTGGACTCATATCTTCTTCTTCTTCTTTACGTCCTCTTTTACGGCTTTGGGTGTCGATTGAGATATAAGATCATGCTTCGTGCTCTTCTGGCTGCTTCGATCATAGACAGATGATGGTGCTGTAGAGTTTCTCTGATATTATCTTCCCATCTTGTTCTTGGTCTACATCTTGCTCTACGTGGCTCTCCTCTTTTGGTATATGCCTTTATATTTTATAGCATCAGAAGTCATCCTCTCCATATTCATGTAGTAATTTTGACCGTGCCAGACTTTTATTACAAATATTTCTTCAAGTTTTTTTTTTTTTTTTTACTCTTACAGAGATAAGGTGAAAGCCGGAAGTGTCACCTTTCCCACCTGGACAGAGCAGCCTGATGCCGACCTGGCCATCATCTTCGCTAGAGTGAATGTCAGTCTCTCCAACAAGCTCTTATCAGCAGGCTCGCTTAGGATGACATTTCCTATGAGATCGGCTAATAAAGATTGGGAATCAGCATTTGTTAGCCTTATTCAGGAAACCCAGTTTACAACTGCTGATGTGAGTCGCTATGGTAATACAGTCAGATTAGTACAAGAATTCAGATATCCAATAAGCATATTTACAGAAGGTGGCAGACTAGAAGTAGAAGCTAGAAGCTAGGTTGTCATCTATCAGATAGTCTCACATCTAAGACACCATAATGTCTGTCTTCCTGGAAGGGGGGGGGGCGGACAGGGTGGGGAGGGCTATGAGTAGGCTGATAGATTGGCCGCTGCCGCTCCTCTGGGTGGTGAGCTATATTATGAGTTTCCGTCAGAATTTACAGCTGGTGAACGCAAGGAAGCGAAGAAGAAGAATACACACAATTGCGGAACTTATATAGCTTTCGGTCAGGGAGAGGTCTCTATGGGTTTGCCATGGCTTGAATCAGGGAATTACCAAAACACGGAATCCTGGAGCTGTTGGCCCCTAAGTCGACAATGTTTGAAGTGGATACCAGAAAGTTTCATAGAAATTAGGGGCTGTTGGTTTTATGTTTACCACGGGTAATTAGGTAATTGCAATTCCAACTTCATTGCGAACTGGTAAATGGGAAACTATGAATTATGGGATTATGGTATAAAAAACTGTGTTGTTAATTATATGGGCGGGGTAGAAATTTTTTGTATAACTCCGGCATATTCGGCTTTTTTTTTAATTGCCTGGATTACCGTTCGGCCACATTATGTCTGATATTGTTGAGTCTAGTCTGTTTGTATGGGAGTCGCCGTGGCGTTGCAGCTAGATTCTCGCGTGCGGATCGGAAGGTCAGGCCTCACTCCCTAGTAGAGCCGAACTTTTCCCCCAAAATGACCTTGACTTCCAGGTCGACCCAGCCTTAAGTGGGTACCAGGTGCAGTCCCGGAAAGTTAAGGCGGCCGGCGTGATACTGACCACATCACACATCTTGTGCCAATTGATCTATAAAAATACAGGTCTAGTCCTATATGCCCTATAACCTAAAGGCGTGGAAAAGGGACCTTTACTTTTTTATTACTCTGTATGTATGCGCATATGTATATGTATATGTATGTGTGGTTTAAAAACAACAATAGTTCTCATTGTACCTATCTTTTAGATTGTTTACGCCAAGTCTGGGTCTATGGCTGAAGAACTGGACAAGGGAACCAAGGGAGACATTCTGTTCTTCTCGCTGACCTTTACACTGATGATCACTTATGCATCTATCGTCAGTTCCGGTGAGAATTGTCTTGCTTCCTTGTTTTATTTTTAAAAAAATCGTCATGTTCAACCAGGATCCCCAAATGGAGAGCTTTTGGTTATAATTGTGACTAGGTTATTTGCACCATATAAAATGGCTTAACCATTAAGTAGCCCTTAAAGGGACTCTTGCAGAGCTGACGCGATCAAAGGGGACATACCAAAATACTGTCCCCACCTACGGCGAAGTTGTCTACCGTCGAGCCCATGTGCGACACACACGGTGGCCGATGATATAATCGGTGTTCTCTTACTGTGCGCAAGCTAGCCTTGTCTCTTTGAAGGGGTTTAGCATGTATTGTTTTTTTTTAGTTAAATCAGAGGACCTATATTCTATAGAACGGTTAGCGTTCAGTTGGGGTTAGGGTCAGTTCTAGATGTTTTGGGGTCATTAAAATCATCAGAAAGCCAGGAAACCCAGTCTTACCACCCTCTAAAATGTTAGACTATCCTGTGACGTCATCTGGGGTAGGATATTACGAAAGAACCCTACTGCCTGTCACAGACATACGGTCTCACCCACCGCCTTGTAAAAAGTATTTCTGTTAGTTTATTCGGCGATGCAAGCAGTGCTCCGACGACTCTGATTTCCTAAACAAAACATATAAACTTCCCGAATTCTTCTGTGCCAGCTTGAATGTTTAAGTGATCGTACGAGGCTCTTAAAAAAGTGTTATCACAATCGACTTCTTTGCACATTGGGCCTTCGCATGCTCGCTCAGTCCTCAGATTCAGCAGCCATTCCAGTGTACCTCTACATATTGTTCCACTGAGGAAGGGGGTTATAGTATCTCCTGTCTTTACCTCGTAGACAGCGTAGACATGCTTCACCAAGCTTAACTCCTCGCTTACGTAGTCGTGTTAGCGTCTGAGATTCGCCGTTGTCCACCAGCCTAAAACGTACAGCGTTGATTATTATTTTTAGGCACTGTTTAGTGGATTAAAAGACGGACGGACAGACGGACGGGTGGACGGTCCGACGAACAGACAGATGGACGGGTGGACGGAGAGGCGAACAGACAGATGGACGGGTGGACGGACGGACGAACAGACAGATGGACGGGTGGACGGACGAACAGACAGACAAACAGATGGACGGGTAGACGGACGGGCGGACAGACAGACCGACAGATGGACGGGTGGACGGTCGGACGAACAGACAGATGGACGGGTGGACGGACGGGCGAAGAGACAGACAGACAGATGGACGAGCGGACGGATGGACGGACGAACAGACAGACAGATGGACGGGTGGATGGACGGGCAAACAGACAGACAGATGGACGGGTGGACGGACGGGCGAACAGACAGACAGATTGACGGGTGGACGGACGGGCGAACAGACAGACAGACAGATATATGTAGCACTGTTTTAATAGACAGTTTGTGATTGGCATAAATAGAAACACAATCTTTCAGGTGGTGACTGCGTGACTTCGCGAATGCTACTGGCAAATGCTGGTGTGTTGGCGGTCGGCTTTGGAATTATAGGCTCCATTGGCTTGGTACTGTTCTGCAAAGTGCAGTTTGTCAGTATCGTGGGCACAATGCCTTTTCTAACTTTAGGTAAGTGGAATTAGATTAGCACAATTTTTTTTTTTTTAAAGTGCTTTTTTAAAAAAAATGTCTCTGATGTACAAATATTGGATACTTGCAACATACGTTTAATTAGTATTCGAATTTGTTCCAGTTATGGTCATCAATATATGTTGTATTTTTTTCTCACACTTATATTCAATAATATCTACTGTCTTAATGATTTTAAAGTTAGTTAGTTGCGTATCCTTTTGCAGAACCAACCCTAGCATTTTTTGCTTGTTGTAGTTGTTCTAGGCAGATTTACGTCCAGTAGTTTGCCCTGGCTTTCTTGATGGTCGTCTTCTCGATACCACTGTCGAAACCAACGCAAGGCGCAAGGCCGACAGCTGGGATCGAACCCTGAACCCCGGAATTACGAAGCGCGTTCGCAACGCCTAAGCCACAGAGGTCGACTGTGTTTCGAAAAACAGTAACAATGAAACTGTTTAGGAAAATATATTATTTTCTTCTTCTTCTTCTTCTTCTTCTTCTTCTTCTTTGCATTCGGTTTCGTATGCTGAGATCAGACCATTAGGTGGGTTGCCTCTATGAACTTGCATGTCAGTAGCAGGTCCTTCGTGGTTCCCCATAGCTTTCTCTGCACACTTTGCTCTTGAGGCCAGGTGTCTTTTCCAAGTTGTATGTATGTAAAGTGGGCAGGTCTGCAGAATGTGCTGGGGTGTTTGTGGTCCTGTTTAACAGGTCCACTGTGAGGACTGTACAATCTGTATTTTATGCCTGAAGTAGATGAGCCTGCAGTGTCCTGTTCGTTATATATTATTTTTATAATTATTATATTTTATTTTAAAACTCTTAACTGCGTGTTTTGTATCCAGGTATAGGAGTGGACGACATGTTTCTGCTGATGAGCAGCTGGAGCGAGACTCTGTCAATGACTGACCTAACGATCCCAGAACGAATGGGGACAGTCTACAGGAAGGCAGGCATTGGTATCACTATCACTTCAGGTAACATTGTCTCAACACATTGATTCTATCTTGTTAAGCTAAAGGGTCGTATATCCCGTCATTATTAATGGATGGATCTAGGTCAGTGGTTCTCAAACTTCCTAATACGGCAACCATCGACCCTTTAATACAATTCCTCATATTGTGGTGACCTTCAGACAAAAAAAAATGTCGTTACTACTTCATAATTTCAGTGAATGTCTGTTCTCCGATGGTCTTAGGCGACCACTGTGAAAGGGTCGTTAGACTCCCAAAAAGGTTAAGAACCACTGAAATTAGTTGACCCGGCCTAAAAGGGATACTGGTTACTGTTTTGGAAAGTGAAGACCGTCAGTGTGATTGTGGCTACGCCATCTACTGAGAGCTGACTTGTTTATAAAATAGAATAATTGAGTCTTGTATAGTTTGCCCGATAAATCACTTGGGAAAGGAGGGGGTGGGGGTGTGTGACAAGTGTCGTTTAGTTTGCTTTCTTCATGGATGGTTCAACAGAGGAACGAGGTTCGCAAGCAAACCTCATTTCTCCTACGAGATTTTAAAAAGATTTAGGAATTATAGGGAAGAGAAGATAACGGGTCAGAAAAAGAAAAATAGTTATTTTAAGCTTTACAAAATCAGTTTTAAAACGTTAGTTGCGTATCCTTTCCAGGACTTTGCGGAACAAACCCCGGCAATTCGTTGTTGTTGTTGTTGTTGTTTTGTTGTTGCCGATATGGTTTTTCTAGACAAATTGTACGTTTATTAGTTTGCCATTCCTTTATGCACGGTTAGCTCTCGTCACCACTGTCGAAACCAACGTAAGACAAACCGTCCGCAGCTGGGATCGAACCTGGCACCCTGGCATTACAAAGGGCATTCTTAACGCCTAAGCCACAGATGCCTAATAAAATCAATTACATTGAACAAACACAGGACGCTGCGGCGGTTAGCTATCAACCGCACACAAAGACAATACAGCACACACACACACACAAATATACACTCACTATGAAATGACTTCCTCTTCTTCTTCAGCATTCCGAGCCCCTGAGGTTCATTGCTGCAGATATCACTCGCCTCCATTTATCTCTCAGGCTGGTCTTCTCTTTGCAGTTGGTGACACCAAGTGTTTGCAGGTCTTCTGGACATTACCTGTCCATCGTTTTCTCGGTCTGCCTCGTGGTCTACGACCATTCATCTCCCTGGTGTATACAGTTTTCACTTCTCTGTCATCTGACACTCTCTCAGTATGCCCCAACCATTTCAGTCTTTTAGCATTCATGATACCGGTTAAGTGATTTAAACAGATTATGAATTTCGCTGTTGCTTCTCAATGAAATGACTGCATTAGAATATTATACACACCACTATGAACACACACAAAATGTTAACAAACTACGGGTTTATGCAAAGCAGGTGATACTAGGTCGCTGATGAAACACAGAGAGGATTAAATACACAAAAACTGACCTTAAGAAAATTGCCAGAACCGGCTCTTGGAATACAACAGTTATTCGTGTGTGAATGGGAAGAATATTGGCCGTGCTGAGGTTTGAAGTTTTAAGGTTTGGAACAGCGGGTCAACATCATGGCACACGGGTAGTAATCCATAAGTGCTCCGTTCTTCTTCTAACTGAGGTCTGAGTCCAAAGAAGCTCGGCACAATGCACAGGCTGTGTAGCACCGGCGAGGATCCTAAAATACTTTGGGTAGATTTTTAACTCCGAATTTTTCCCTGGCGGTGCCGTTATGCCACTCTTTTTGATTTCCAACTGCCAAGGGATTTTTTACGTGTGCAACAATGCACATGAGCATCCGATCTCACTACCCAGAGAACGGGAAAAAGGGGGGGGGGGGGCTGATTACTAGAAGTCCAAGTCCACGTTAACAAATCCCAGCCATCACCGGTGATTGAACCCAGAACCTTCAGCAGTGCCAAAGTATAGAACGACTTAGCTACAGTTTGTTGCGTGCCTACCCTCGATGGGATGATATAGGACAGAGGATAAAGATTTACTTTACTTTAACCTAACTGTAAGTACTTTCTTCCTTTAGCAATGACAGGGAATCTGTGGAGGTCAAAGAAACTAATACTAAACTTTGAAAAAAAAAAATTAAAACTAGTGTCAGGTCAGTACTGTTGAATGGAGCGGAAACATGGAGAACAATTAAGGCAATTACTAATCAACTACAAACATTCATTAACTGACTCACTGTCTCGAAGAGTCATCTAGAGAAACTGGAGCGCATACACAATGAAGCTATACGGGTGATCCTGGGATGTATAAGAGACACCCTGATTGTGTGCATGCGATACATCCTTGCATTGCCGACTGTTGCAGATAGGCTAAAGGTGCTGCAGGCTAAGTCATATCTCATAGTAGCTGCAGACCGGGAACACCCTTTTTATGAAGCTTTGGCTGCAGGTAAGGGTCAAAGGCTGAAAAGGGGAAAATCGTGGATGGCTCAAGCAGAAGACACATGTGGTGATCTTCACAGACGGGTCCGTTATACGAGGACATAGGAGTGCTTGGACATTTACAGCTCGCTCTTGGGGCAAAACAGTTCAAGAAGCCAGTGGTGCCTTCTCCATGACCACCAGAAGCATGACGATGGAGGTGATGGCGGTGACACAGGCTTTCATGTGGCTGGGATCACAGGACTATTCCCGTGTGTGTGTGTGCTGAGTGATTCTTTGAGCATGCGTTTCCGGCGGGTCGAGGCAGGCTGTGATCAACTCACTTTGGGAACAAGTTCCAGTGGACCACGAGGTGAAGAAAAAACCCCGGTGTTGAATAGGATACATGTTGTGAAAACCTGAGAGCACTGGAACAAACAAGCACATCTAAATAAAGGGAGACCACAAAAAAAAACATACAGAAAGGATCTACAGGGTGAAGTCAAATAAATAGGGAGAGCAGCATGCGATAGCAAAGGATAGAACGACTTGACGTGAGTTGGTTGAAGGCCTATGCTTCACTGTGGAGTGGGGTGGGGTGGTGGTGTTAGACAGGCAGAAGAAGAAGCCCTGGAGTAAGGCTAGAAAGCTCTGCAAGCTATTGCTGTCGTTGATTGAATGTGTTTAATCAATCCTCATCGCGCCCAGAGGCACATAAGGCAGAGACAGACTGTCGCCACTCAGTTTGGTCCTGAGCCATACTCTCTATTTCTAGTTTTGTCCTTCATGTAGCCTTGAGTTCAGCCTCAAAGGTTCGCCTCCAGGTGCCTCTGTGCCTGCCTCGCCCTCTCTGTTCTAGTGGACCTAATGTGTTACTGAGTCGTAACAACGTGAATGATAATGGTATATCTTATTCTAATTCAAATACTGACAATGAAAGGCGGTGGCAGAAAGTGTGGTCTTAAGGCAAATCAAGTGAACGCGAGCGATTGTTCTTCTTTCCTTCGTTTAAAATCTGCAGAGCTGTCTTTGGTTTTTAAATTCACTCAGAGACCCATGAAGTTTGGCTTCTAACGGTAGTTCTTTTAGCCAGAAGTTGACAATTGACAAATAAAAGAAGTGGGTGTTTCTTTACTATTAACTATATATATATATATATATATATATATATATATATATATATATATGATATATATATATATATATATATATATATATATATATATATATACACACACACACACACATTTGGTGCTGTACCGCCTATATGTACATAGTAGTATTTTGATAATAACTGGTGATAAACAACAAGCCACTGAGTTCCATGCCATCATCTAACAAACAAGGTGACATTGTTTGTGTCTGTTGTCCATGATGGCATGGAACTCAGTGGCTTGCTGTTTATCATCAGTTATTATCAAAATATGATCTACATATCGGCGGTACAGCACTAAATCGTTGATGTGTGTAGATATGTTCAAGATGTGCTTTGAAGATGTGATGGGTCTAGAATGCTTTCTATGCCTACTGTCAATTTGGCTGCATCTGTTTTCCGGAAAATTAAATATAAATAATTTTAGTGTAATTGACAAGGACAGAGTTCACTGTATGATTTACCACGCACTAGACAGGCGAATACTGAAACTGGCCAAAGCTTTAACAATAAAAATAATCAACTTGTATTATGTAAGCAGAAGGAATTCATTGTACATTTGAAGTTACCAAGGTAAGTCATATGACTGTCGTGAACTTCCGGCGACTATACGAACACGATGTACAGAGAACGACCATTTGTATTGCAGTGGGAATTCAGTTATTGTGCTTCATTATTTGTTAATGTTACTCTGTAATAAGGCACCTGGCGAGAGACAATGAAATATACCCGATACTAAATTATGCAGTGCCTTATTTGCTTGAACTATTACTTTTATTATTGATGTTGTTGTTGTGGTTGTTGTTGTTGTTGTTGTTGTTGTTGTTATTATTATTATTATTATTATTATTATTATGACTATTCACCCACATCAGTGACAGATTTCCTGGCGTTTGCAATTGGCGCTTCCAGCAGATTTAGAAGTGTTCGGAATTTTTGTATTTTTACAGGTAAGTAATGTTATACTTATCATAATGTTATTCAAGTTGCAATTTCAGAAGCCGACAAATATCGTTAACTTGACATTTTACTAATACAATAAGTGGGTCTAAAAGCTAGTCCCTAAGGAAGAAAACGGGAGCTCAGAGTGGCAATATACGTGCTGTTGGAGTAGTTGACGTAGCAATACATGCACTGTTGCAGTAGTTAACGTAGCAATATATGCACCGTTTGAGTAGTTAACGTAGCAATATATGCACCGTTTGAGTAGTTAACGTAGCAATGTATGCACTGTTGGAGTAGTTGACGTAGCAATATATCCACTGTTGGAGTGGTTAACGTAGCAATATATGCACTGTTTGAGTAGTTAACGTAGCAATATATTCATTGTTGGAGTAGTTAACGTAGTGATAGATGCATTGTTGGAGTACTTGACGTAGCAATATATGCACTGTTTGAGTGGTTAACGTTGCGATAAATGCACTGTTGGAGTAGTTAACGTAGCGATAAATGCACTGTTAAAGAAGTTAACATTGTAGTATATGCACTGTTGGAGTAGTTAACGTAGCGATATATTCACTGTTGGAGTAGTTAACGTAGTGATGGATGCACTGTTGGAGTAGTTAACGTAGCGACATATGCACCGTTGGAGTAGTTAACGTAGCAATATGTGCACTGTTTGATTATTTAACGTAGCGATATTTTAGTCTGTTGAAGCAGTTTACGATTGCTTCTAGAAAAACAAAACAAGTTAAAGAAAAACAGTGTACGCAGTAATGGGATAACAACTATGTTTTTTGGTCATTTTATGAAAAGAGATGCTTTCAGAAACATAGCGAAAAATGGAGAGGAAAACTTCAGAAGACAGTGGTAGACCTGAAGAAAAGGTGTTGATAGATGCTATAAGATGGCGTTATCGTTATCAGAGATCTAGAATACAAGAAACCGAGATTTAATGTTCAAAGACTCCTTTGTGTGTGCTTGCGGGGGCGTATGTAGGGACGTGTGTGTGTGTGTGTGAGCGCGCGCCCGTGCGTGCATCATAGCATCTTGGCTGTACATACCCGTACACTCCGGGGTGAAAGGATATAAAAGAGCCGATAGACATGCTGTGTCTGCAGTAGTTAGTGGAGAAAGAAGTATGGACAGGTAGACAAACCGAAGACGTTGCCGTCCAGAGACGTTGAGACAAAGAAGTCAGAGACGACAAACAGCCAGTTGGAAATAGGTATCAAACAAGGACAGGCATGGAAAAACTGGCTGACAGACAAAGAAAGAATATATTGCAGTCAGCTTCGACAGAATACGGTGAGCATGAAGACAGTGAGATAGCTGCTGCTTTGGGGGATGTTGGACCCATATGTTAAAATGTCGATACGCATTTGAAGTATCACATAACAAGACGGTTGAGACAAAATTTTAAAGAAACGTCTTGTATAATGACACATCTTGTTTAGATAAAACTAAAAAAAAAAAACGTAACCAGAACGGCGTCCGTGGCTCGCAATTCCAACATACTGCGATCAACACCCACTGCTGGCTGCGTAGATTTTTATCATAGTATAGGGCGTCGCAGGTCGACCCAGACTAAAATTCCTACCAGGATGTATGACCTGGGGAGATAAACACGGCCGACGTAATGCTCACCACATTGTCCACCTAGTGCCGATTGGTCTATACAAATATGGGAGCTATTTCCAAATGCCCGATGCGCATAAAGGCGTGGAAAGAGATCTTTACTTACTTCTTGTAAGCAGTGAAACAACGTCCCAAATGTGTTAAGACAGGAGAAATTAAAAAAAAAAAACAAGTTATACATACTGGAATAACGTCCCAACTTGTTGAAGCAGGCGTTAAAGAAACCGCTTGTACAAAGCAGGGTGACGTGAACGCAATTGCATTTGCCCGGCAGGTGTTGCAGTCCTCCTGTGCTACATCTGTAACGCTTGTGTGTTCGGCGCCTGCCTGACGCTCCATGCACGCCGTGTGTATGCCAGCAGACATTCCATCGTCTGTCGGAAGGTCAAGTCGAGGAAGCAACTGAAAGCGGAAGGAGCCTCTTGCTGTAGAATATGTATGTGTGGAGGTGAGGTACCAGAAACTGCCGGTGCTGACCAGAGTGTGTGCGAGTGGGGCCCAAGAAAACTACTAGTAAGGTGGGTACATTGTTGAAAATTTCATTTCATGTTTATGTCATGCATAGATGGAATATCCGAGGCAGTAAATACCATCATCTACCAAGGCTCGTACCCGACGCCCCTTCAAAACTGGCGCGAAAAGGCAGTATCCGACTAGACAAAAAGAAGTTTAGTTTATGCAGTCACAAGAACTAAAAGTATTTTTTTCCATGATTTCAGGCGCGTTGGGTATATAGGTCTAGACCTATATTTTGTAGACCAGTCGGCACGGTGATGTGGTCAGCATTACACCGGCCGCCTTTACTTTGCGTGACTACACCTGATACTCATTCAAGGTTGTGTCGACCTGGGAGCCAAGAAGTCACAAGAACTACCAGGCACTAAAACATAGAAGGATCTGGTGTAAATTCCAGAGAGCAGAGCCTGAGCAGAAGATGGACTGATGAAATTAAAAACATTTTGCATTGACACAGAAGAACAATAGCCAGTGCTACTTCTCAAGCAATGGATCGAAATTTACTCCATCCCACGTCGCTTAACACTCTTGATCACTACGTACATGGCTGCTTTACTGGTCGGCACTCCAATCCATACCTCACCATGTGATATTCTGTCAGTTGCACCCACATTTCCGATGAGGAATTCTGCCTGTGCTCTCCGAGAACCACATCTTTTCACTTGCTTCCTTATTATTGCCCAAAGCTTCATGTGGATGATGTTTCATGTCCTCTGTGATTTTAAGGTATTTTCTTGTGTGTGTATCTATAGCACTCAGTATCTTGTATTTTATTTTTGTATGTGTGTCCTGAATATGGTTCACTCGAGCGCAGACAGCCCAGTCGTCCGCACCTCTCGTCTTCCGCTCGATTGCTAACTCTCAATTCGTGGCCCGATTCTCGATAACCAGATACTTGGCACCGATTCGCTTGACATTCGGCTGAGTCAGTCTTGACATTCGGCGTTGCGGGTGGAGTTTTAGCAGCCCGTTGTACGTAGTACGCATTAATAGCATACGATTGCCTCGTGAACTGTTGGTGAAAGCACACTTGGTGTCCTTTTCAGGATACTCAACAAGTCTTGCCGACCCCGCAGGGATCTAGTTTTCGGAAAACACATCATAGGTACAGCCTATTCACCCGCCTGACAAGATGGGAAAAGCCAAGAAACCAGCGAAGGCCGCCTCACCAAGGAAGGAGCCTGCAGTAACAGAAACCGCAGCCAAAGACGACCAGAGCCAGGAGATGATCACCCAAAGACCGATCAGCCCTACTCCAGAAGTCAATGCCGCAGCGGACACTAACAGCACTTCTGAAGCCGAGAATCCAACCCAGCCTCCAACAACCAGTGCCACCGACGCGCCAGCGGCGCAGCCAGTCATGAGGCCACTGTCGTTCTTAAGCACGCAGAGAAGGAATCACCAGCAGGGTAACTACTCATCAGATATCCTACAGTGCGCTCGGTGCAATAGGGCGTAGAACACTACCGCGACCTGTCGTAGCGGGCCCATTTGTCGTTACTGTGCAGGGACGCACGACTTCAAAGAGTGCCCCCTAGCCAAAACCGACCAGGATTTCAGGAGGCCTAACACAAACAGAAGGTGCTAATTTTGTTCTGGGCACACAGCGCCAGGTACATGGGCTGCCCCTACCTGAAGAACTGTAAAAAGCCACCCAATCCGCCAGTTACAGCAAGACCAAACCATAGAGCTAGCCCAGCTGCTAAAGACGGCGAAATAGCACAACATCTGACCGAAATCCGGAACGAAATCTGCACGATCAACAGAAAGTAAACAGAGATGAAGCTACCTCGGACAGAATTGAGATGCTAGGCTTCATCTCCCAAACATTAGATGAACCAAAAGCCCAGAGAGCAGACAAACAAGCAGAAGCGGCCCAGCACATGAGACTACTAGCTGAAATAACAGAGGCGACTATAAAAATGCAAGACCTATTAGAGCAGCTGAAAACAGCACAAGTCCAGGAGGTAGCTCGGCTTCAAGCAGAAAGAGAGGGACATCAAAGAGAGATGAACATCAAAGAGAGATGGCCGCTCTCAAAGAAGCCTGCGAAACAACATACCAAAAAATCACTCGGCTACTAGAGGTGAAAGCTGAAGCAGACGCTGCAATGATAGCAGTCAATATGGAGAGAACCCGGCAGAAAGAGAAGGCGGACAAGAGTCAAACATACAAGAAGTCCTGAAAGAAGCAGTAAGCGACATCAAAAAAACTTATTGAAACCCAGCAAAACCTGACAGCAATGGAAGAACAAGAAACTGAATCAGACTGCGAAGACACTGAACCGGACTATTTTGAAGAAGATGCAGAAGAGGAAGAATACGCAAACCGAATCCTTGAAATGCCAGCCTTCGTACCCCACGACGAAATGACACAGGCATACAATGACGAATTAGTGAGATGCATTAATGATCTGATTGGACCAGCAGAGAAGATTGGGCCGGCTCCGCCGGATTGAAACTCATTCACTACGACCCGAAGAATGACTTCAACGCCCCAAATGTGACATACCAGCACCTCTACGTAAGACACAAGGAGTACGAAAGGAGGCTACTCAAATAAATGTCCAGAGCCCACCACATCATCAGCACGAGAGTCGCACCCAAACAGGGAGTGAGCCAGCCCAACAACAAACAGAGGAACATTCAAAAACCTTAATACGCTCTCGCAACCAAGAAACGTTAGCAGTCATGAGGCTACCCAACAGACCCAAACCAAGCAGAAACCAGCAACCAATCAGAACCAGCCAAGCCGCCATGACAGCCAACCAGACCAGCTCACCGGCACGAAGAACCCACAGCTAAGCCAGGCATTATGTCGACCACAAAATTCACTTCCTCCCACCCGTTCGAGGCCGCCCCAGGCAATCTCTACTAGTCCTTATCAGGACTAGTTGACATCCACTCCCAATCAGTACTGCAGAAACATGCAAGAAATTAGGCGTGAGCACACGTCACCAACACGAATTGAAACGGCACAGAAACGAGAACGCCAATAAAGCAAGGCCCCAGAGGCACGCTGAAGCGTTCGATTTTTTTACTTTTTAACGTCAACGCTCAACGTCAATGAACACGGTTCATGTATATGCGAATGAATCATCAATCAGGTGCCGTCTCTGCAAATAAGGCTGGCTGTAATGGATTCTCACCACGCTCGTCCCTTGTCTTGGTTATACAGATTGTTGTTCGTTTCATGTCTTGACGTTGTCCTCCTGTTTGTATCGTTGTCTACCTCTTGCCATTTGACCTCTCCCGCCAGTAAGGTTTTTAAGAATGTTATGTCTTTTAATGTGGCCAAAATATTTACCTTGTCAGCCAAAATAGTTCAGTTGTCTTTGTAATCCATAATATCTTTTAATTTGCAGTCTTTCGAGAACCCTTTGTATTTGTTTTAGTGAAGGAAAGATGGCAATAAATGAAATAGGCCATTTAATTTGTCGTGACAAAGGGTATGTGAAAACTCAACACTTGCCACACTTAGAGTGGTGGATAGTTTTTTTAAAACAATATTTAAATTTTTACGCATACAGATTAAATTGTAATGTATAGGTAAAAATTTACGAACGGTTAGTAATCAAATGTAAGACGGCATCAGAGATTTGAAAAGAAAATGAGGAAACCTCTATAAAAGGAGCGCACCACAATTTCACCACAACCCTTTCCAAAAGTATTGGCGAAGTTGTAATGTTCTGAAATCAGGCTGCCTTTTTTTCTGTGTTCGCCCTCAAAAGTGTGTTTGGCACGTGTCTTGTTATTTACAACTGGTCGGTGATATCTTTCAGCCCAGCATATCAAATTTCGTTTTTTTTTTAAACTAATTAGTGGCTTTTTACTACATGCATCCCCCCCCCCGCCCCCCACCCACCCCGCCCATTTTTTATTTTTTTATTCGACCCCAGACAAAAATTAGACCGTGAAATCTATTCAGATATTAGGATGTTTACTGTAATTTCTTGCTTTTTTAATTAGATGGCCTCATTTTTAGCTGTTTATGCTGAAACAAACACTTTGGTCGCAACTTTAATTTATTTGTGTGTGTGTGGGTGTGTGTGTGTGTGTGTGTGTGTGGGTGTGTGTGTGTGTGTGTGTGTGGGTGTGTGTGTGTGTGTGTGTTGTGTTAGTTTTCGAACACATTTGTCCCGTTTTCACTTGAATTCGCTTTTCCATCTGAGTGAATATTCAACGGATTCCTCGACTGTTTCCTGTTAGCTGGAAAAGGGTTAATAGATGTGTTAAAGCAGGTTCTGTAAGAGAAACAATAGACCAGGTCCAGATATTCTAGAAATATGGCAGTGTCACAATACTCCACTACATAATTATTTATTTATTTTTAAAAGTAAAGATCTTGCGTTGCCTGAAATAAGTTTGGGAGTCTTTAACTAGCCTGTGACACGCGCAGTCAGAAGTCAGATGATAAGGAAATAGTAGCAGATGAAACAGTCACTATAATATTGAAAGCAACACTACAAACTCACCAGCGTTTCAAAACGAAGCATTCGCAAGACTGCTCACAGGAATTAGCGTCAATTATGATCGTAAGATACATTTTTTTTTTTTAAACACTTGCTACTTGACTAAAAAAACAAAATCTTCATTTGTTTTGTGCTGCCCATTTGTGGATGCTCAGATTTTTGTTGTGGAATCCGGTGAGATACTTCATCCTGCTGTTCTTCGCCGCATACCTGGGAGTTGCCATCTGGGGCTGCACCCGGCTGGAGCAAGGCTTGGAGCTCAAGAATCTGGCACCTGAGTCATCCTACTTCTACAAATTCCAGGTATCTGTATTTGTTTAATCATTATCTTCCCATTAACAGATTAGGTCTCAATTTACTCAGTAACCGGAAAAGCTGAGTTTAGTTAAGTTGATTCAAATCACCAACATCACAGCACTCGAGGAATTCCTATAAGCGCCCCGTCCCCATATTCAGCCGCCAGTGCAGATTTTCAATACCTGTGCCAGTACAGTCTGATTATATGATGATGATGATGATGATGATGATGGTTGGCAACCTTTCCGTCTTTCCAGACTATAGTGTTATATTGCGCTATGAGGAGGGATGGACTCAGACCATGGCGATGGCGATGGTAGATGTGACTTGCAAGACCCGCCTGCGTTGGGAAGTCTTCTACTAGTACAGCATGGGGTGTCAGGACCGCTGTTGTCAACATGTGTGCTTATTCTGTTTCTTCTCAGTCGCTCAGCTTTCATCCTTTCTGCGATAATTTCTTTTGTCATTCTTAGTCCCTGCCTAATGTGCCCACTCCACTCAACACGGTCCATGGCATTTTTCTTTTCCCTAAGAGTGCACCTCAATACCTGTACCATTCATGTCCCGCTTGTACACATCTTTATATCGCAGTAGAGGTCTGTTTATAGTTAACCTAATATAACTGTATTATCCAGTTAAACAAACTTTCTTGGATTTGTTCCTCTTTGATTCTTATCCATGAGTTGTTAATCATCATAGAATAACAATCCTGGAGGGAAGCGAAGACAACTACCATTTCTTTAATCGAGGGGGCTGCGTGGTCTCGGGGTATGGTGTCCGCTTCGAGTGCTAGAGGTTCCGTGTTCAATCCCCGGTAAGGGCTGGGATTTTTTCACGTGTACTTGGACTTCTAGTAATTTACCTTGGTCTTTGGGTAGTGAGATCGGACGCCCATGAGAATTGTTGCGCACGAACAAATCCCTTGGCATTTGGAAATCGAAAAAGAGTAGCCTAACGGCACTGCCCAGGTAAAATTTAGAGTTAAAAATCTACCAAAAGTATTTCAGGATCTTCACCGGTGCTACGGAGCCTGTGCACTGTGCTGAGCTTCTTCGGACTCAGACCCAGACACTGTCTGTTTTTTTTTTTTTCTTTCCGTTCCCATCACGCATGGGACTACAACAACAACTTGTCGGAGGATAAACCAACAAGGAATATCCCAGATACTCAGTTTAATCTCCAAAGCAGTTTTAATTAGTGCATCTGTAATGGTTACCCCACCCTTGTGCAGCCTACAGTTCTATGAGGGTTAAGAGATAACCAAACTACAAACGTTGGCTAGTTCTTTGGGGGAAAAAAATTAACGAGGTCGACCACGTTCAACTCTGCTGAAAACAGCTTCGATTATAATTAATTGTCTGGTTATGTTTTAAACGTGCAGCAGGGGAAACCAACCCTGAGCTTCATGAACTCAGATGGGCCCACTCTCTGAAAATGTCTAGGAGCTATTGGGCCGAAACATTTGTCGACGAGAGGTTACTTCTACTGATGCAAGTTCGATCCCAGCTGAAGGCGATTTGGCAGCAGACCACCTTGGTTTTGACAGTGGTATCGTGACAAACTACTGAACGTAAATTTTCATAGAAAACCGAAACAGCCAAAAAATGCTGAGGTTGGTAATATGCAACATCCTGTAAGGGACGCGTAATTAACTTTAACTCTACAGTGTTCTCAATTGTTTTGAACATAAATTTAAACTCTGATTACCAGAGAAGATTACAGACACTTGACTGTATGTAATCCTAATGTTTTTGTTACATTGCACTCAATTTAAACACTCAGTCTTGGAACGATGAAGACTTTGGCTACAAGCTGCCCATCAGTTTTGTGACAACCAAAGAAAAAGACTACACGAAGAATGAAACACTGCAGGTATTTATATTTACGATATTTCAAAAAAAAAAAGTGGGGTGAGTCTTCTTCTTCTTATCTGCTTCCCCCATCTGCTCTTATTCTTCCCATTTCCATCTTCCTCTTCCTCTCCGCTTCTTCTTTTTCCTTTCTAATTCGTGTCCTGATCCTCCTTCTCTTCCTCACTTCAACTTCCTCAACCACCAAGTTCTTTAAACAAAATTTCAGAACTGGTTTAATTGTGAAAATACAGTTTTCTACGGGATAGATTTGTCATTCCACTCTAACCCTCTTTAGTGTCCTCTTACTATACGCTGGTCAAACAATTCCTTAAAGCGTCGGAGATGTGGTTTCAAAAAAACCGAATTCCTTTTACAACAAAAAAGAGCAATCCAGATATTTTGAAAAAAGGCCAGGGCTTGAAGACAACTCACCACAAACATCAGAAGGTGAAAGACACAAGTGTTTGGTCATGTTATGATAAGAAGGAAGCTGGAATATGTTGTGACCACTGGAAATATCAGCAGAAGGACAGACAGAGGAAGACAACGAGAAAATATTCATGACTACCATTTGTCATGGCATAGAAGGGTGTCAGCACACGAAGTAATACACTCTATTGTAGATTGCATATTTTGGCGAGTCATGATTGCCCACCCACATTAGGAAAAGCACTGATGATGATGATGATGATGATGATGATGATGATGATGATGATGATGATGATGATGATGATGATGATGATAATGATGATGATGATGAAGATGATACGCATGATAGATTGCAATGCTGCAGTTTGTACTTCTCGTCTGTGCCCTGGTAACACATGACTGAATGTATTCTTTATTTTAAATATATTGGCGTTTGTTTCTTAGGCGTTGCGAACACGATTCGTCATTCCAAACTACCCAGTTCGATTGCTGTTGCAGAGAGTTTGGGGAACAAACCGCTTTGCGTTGATTTCTTCAATGGTTTCAAGAGCCGACTGTTCAGAGGCAACAGTAGACTTCTTTCTCTTAAAGTCCGTGCCGTGTGGGGTTGGCAGTTATGTATATCCACAGCCTTGTGGCTCGTGTACTTTCAGCAACTCTGACATAGATGATTCCTCCATGCCACGGCAGGGTATTGGACGTAAAATTTACTAGTAAAACCAGACAGCCAAAAAAATATGCGATTGGTTCTACAATGCATTTCTGCTCCTATAGTTTATAGACCAAATGACACTCTGTATCTTTATACTCGACATTTTCTATCAATATCCGTGAAAGTATGTCGATTTTAGGCCCCAAAATTAATTTTCTTTTAATCTTTAACTAGTATGTTCCAACAGAAAGCATTGTTTCCAACAGATTTAATCAAATTTAATTTCAGGGTTTAACCTATCCTTAACGCGGGTGGGTTTTGCTAGACCATCTCGCCATCGTCACGGGATATGCGTCCATACCCTCCATATAATACTGTATAAGATTATCGTCTGGAAAGACGATAATTAATTTTCTTTTAATCTTTAACTAGTATGTTCCAACAGAAAGCATTGTTTCCAACAGATTTAATCAAATTTAATTTCAGGGTTTAACCTATCCTTAACGCGGGTGGGTTTTGCTAGACCATCTCGCCATCGTCACGGGATATGCGTCCATACCCTCCATATAATACTGTATAAGATTATCGTCTGGAAAGACGAGAAACAACAACACGCCTTCACTTCTGAGAAGGTTTCCTGGTATCCATTTTAGGTGTTGGTCGGGGTGGGAGCTAGAATCGATTATTAAAATTCCACTTTAGAATATCAAGTGTACAATTAAAAAACAATGTCTACTTTTCCACCACTGTCTCCAGGAAATAAAGCAACTGTTACAGACGGCACAGAAAGATTCTTTGATCGTACCAAACATGAGCATCTGTTGGTTGACGAGCCTGGCAGACACAAACTTCTACAACACGACCAGCACTGACGCTTTTTTCTCCGGTTTAAATGATTTTCTTCAGATAGTCCCAATCTTCAAAAACGACATAGTCTTTGAAGGAAATCACACAATCACAGCATCTCGATGCCATGTGTATTCCCAGAAGGTGTGTAACCATTATCTTTTTTTTTTTTTTTTTAGTTAACGTCCCTTGTATTTCGCATAGGCTTACAATCTGTTCCGTCCCCCTCCTCTTTTCATCCTCTACAAGATATTAGTTGCCTAGAAAAAAAAACAGCAAATATTGTTTTTAGCATATTTTATTTTTAAAATATACATGACATGGCAGATGTGGTCAAGGTCCTTTGGGAACAAGAAAATATATAAAACCGAACGAAGAGTATACCGGTAAATATTTCCTTAACCTCATGGATATTCTAAGACAGCAGGCAAAAAATCATTGCGATATAACATGTAGTTTTCGAGAAAATGGCTTGCATTTGCGTTTATGTATTGTTGAACGAACTATTTATGTATTGTTGCACGAACTATTTATGTATTGTTGAACGAACTATTCATCTATTGTTGAACGAACTATTTATCTATTGTTGAACGAACTATTTATCTATTGTTGAACGAACTATAATTTTGTATGATTTGTCACCATGTATGTGATAACAAGTAAAGGACCCTTTTCTGCGCCTTCGGGCGTATTAGGCATAAAGGGCTCAACCTATATTTTATAGACCAATCGGAACCTGATAGCTGATGTGGTCAGCGTCACGCAGACCGCCTTGACTTTCCATTGCTTTGCCTGGTACCCATTTAAGGTTGGGTCGATCTGAGAGCCAATGTATGTATATAATAGTAAGTAAAAGGACCTTTAGCACCCCCTTAGGCGTTTAGGGCAGATGGTTGAAGTCAAAGCCCGTTACACGATTGTGGCGAATAGAGCATTTCAGGTTAGACCCTTATTTTAAAGGGGGAAAAAATACTTTTATTGATGGGTGATGTGGTCAGCATCAAACTGGTCGCCTTTACTTTCCAGGTCTTCACCTGGTATCCACTTTATCCTTTTTTTTTTTTTCTCTCAACACGAAGAACGACTTCGTCGCCGGACGGGACAGTATTTGGGTCTGTCTCCTTTGATCTCATTAACACTACATGAGTTCTTTTCACCTTGGACAGCCAAAAAGAGCAACCAAGAGGTTTTGAAAGAGGCGGGAGCACGAAGTCAATTTATCACAGACATCAGAAGGAGACAGTCATAATTTTTCGGCCATGTTATGAGAAGAGGGAAAATAGAACATGTTGTGACCACTGGAAAGATGTGTGGAAGGAGAGATAGAGGAAGACAACGAGAGAAGATGCTTGACAGTCTTGTTGCATGGCATGGAGGTATGTCGGCACACGAACTGGTACATGCTGCAGGAGATCGCAGATTATGGAGAGGCATGATCGCCCACGCCAGTCGGCAAGGCACCTGATGATGATGATGATGATGATAATGATGATGATTTTTTTTCAGAGCTACTTGGTGGCAAGCAAAACTTAGCCATTATGTTAATATAGTGCACATAACATAGTCACATTTATAACCTAACCACACAGCCTAGTCACATTTATAACCTAACCACACAGCCTAGTCACATCTATCACCTAAAGCCCCCACATCCCTTTTTCGGGAATGCTGATTGAACGTGAGCAAAGCAACAACACAAGTAGCAAAGAATTTGTACAGCATATCACAGTGAATAGCTCAGTAGACTGCTCAGTCAATGACAGTAACACCAATAACGGATGGCACATTAAGGAATACATCACTTAATCAGATCCAAGCCTGAGCAATGAGACGGACACGGCCAGATAGACACAAAAGACATGATATAGAAGCACAAGGCACTACGCAATTAAAAACGAACCCAGTTTTTTTGCCATAATTATAACAAGTATTGACTAGGACGAGGCTAGGTCCATAGTCAGAGGTTGAAAGTGGCTAATTCAAATGGAACGAACAAAAAATTCAAAATTGCAAAGCCTGGTTGGTGATTTTTCTAGTCACTTCTGTTTTTCTTGGTATTAAAACTATTTATACCAGCGGCTGTCTAAACATTTCTCTCTCTCTCTCTCTCTCTCTTATTTTTTATTTGTTGCAGTTCTTGAGTTCTTTCTGTGGTTATTCGTCATCCCTTTGTGGGATGCAATTTTTCGTTATTTTGAAGCTCGACCCTTGCTCTTGCCAGGGGCAACAATATAGCCTGGCCATAAATATGGTCTAATGGCTGAACGCGGTTTCCGGGACCGCTCCACGGGTGATCTTCATGCGCATGATAGCATTTTGTGTCATCGGGTGTTTATCGCTTGCGTGATGTCCTGGTGGGGTACAACTACCTGCCCACTTAATGAACGATTGTTGTTTATTAAAAGTTAAAAGTTCATTGTTAGTTGTAGTCCAAAGTAACGGTCGTTGTTGATTATTGTTTTCCACCCGACACCCCAATCCCCCCCCCCCCCCCCCCTTTTTTGTCCCCTTTTTTTTTCTTCCAAATCCAACTTACTATAGGTCTCATCTTCCAACGATCAAGCCAATGTGTTGACTCGCATGCGCCAACTTGCCGATGACTCGCCTGCTGGAGTATTTGCATTCAATCCCAACTTTGTCATCTTCGAACAGTACCTAGTGATCATACACGACACACTTCAGACAGTCGGCGTCACCATTGCAGGTAGTAAACGTGTTTCTCAACATGTGAGAGTTGATAACCGACATCATAGCACTTAAGACATTCACATAAGCGCTGCATCCCCATCTTCAGCAGCAAGCGCAGGGTTCCATTTTCGTTGGCACCATTAACAGTCGGACTATATGTCCTTCTCGCCTCTCTCCTGAGTGTTGAGAGGCGGCTACCTCATCTGGTATTTCTCGCTGCCTGATGTCCTTTAGACTATGATGATCTGTTTGTGTCTCTGGACTGTTTACTCCAGTTAGGGTTAGTTGCGTATCCTTAACAGGACGTTGTAGAACCAATCCCAGCAGCCCCTGGCTGTTGTGCGGTTTTTCCAGGCAAATTTACATCCCGTAGTTTGCCATTGTTTCTGGACGGTCGGCTTTCTTGATACCACTGCCATCCTGGCATTACGAAATGTTCGCATCGATTTAGCCACAGAGCCGACGTTTGCTCCTGTAAGGGCCCATACAATATATAGCCTGCCATTCCACCAGTTAGCGCAGAACCAGCCAGTCTGCCTGCTTGTTCATTTCCCAGTACTAGCACCGTGTACTAAATTCAGTGAGGAAAAAAAACAGCAAGTGGTTTGGCCATCAAATACCATCACAGGGACTGCATTTCAGAAAACCAGCCACAAGAGCAGGAGGATGGCTACAAAAATATTGATCAAGAACATTCAAGATACTTTAACGCCTTCCCAGCATGACATTAACCAATGCCAGCCAGTGCACTGGATCGTACATTATTCTTCCCCATGCCACTTAAACCATAGAGATGAATGGAGGCGGGTGATATCTGCAGCAATGAACCTCAAGGGCTCGAAATGCTGAAGAAGAAGAAGAAGAAGATGCCGCTTAAAGCTGAAAGTGGTTTATGGTGACGATGATACTTTAAACATTTACTTTAAGTACATCTGGTAACACTAAAGACGGAACAGAAATATAAATGCATTCGAAAATAAATTCCTGGGGAAAGTGATACTTATAATCGTTAAATCGGAGGAATTTCAGAATTGCGAAGAATTCAAAGAAATCTGGACAGCTGCTTGTATCGATAGCTATAGGGAAAATATTGGTGAAGCAATAGGCAATGGCCCTTTCCAACAGAGAACACACCGAAGACAAAAATCGGGACTTTCAGACCGAAAACGGGACATCGTTAGCCCGGGATGTTGACGTCACGTCAAGCTGAAGTTATCACGGCCCCCTGCTGGAGTGGGCCATGACTTTGGGACAACTTGAGGTGAAGGAGTCGGAATATTACTGGTAATGTTGGTATTATGCGAAAACATAATCACCAAGAATCGTTTGTGGCACTGAAATTCTTTAGAGACCCTGCTATATTATTTTGATACTGATGATTACATTTTCTTGATGGCATTACAGGGTTTCCCTTATCTTTCTATCACCGCAGTTATGTTTGTGGCGACGTGCATCTTTTTGCCGCACCCTTTGATGGTCATCCTGGTGATCGTGCAAGTGTTTATGATCGTGGTGGGCATCTTTGGCTTCATGGCTCACTGGGGTCTCACACTGAGTTCCATAACCATGATTGAGCTTATCATGAGTGTTGGATTCTCTGTGGATTTCTGGTAAGACGACCATTTTAGTTTATTCAATAACCCAAACGTTCTGTCTTTAAAAAAAAAAAATTATCTTATTACTTTTTTCGGAGTTATAACTTTCGGATCCGCAGGCAGGCGTCCAGCCACTACACCACGGAAGCTCCCAAGTGTTACTTGGAATCCAGTTGTAATGTTCATGTACGAATTCTCGACAGTTAATGAACAATACGAAGAATCTCCGAGTGGCTCTCACGCTAGGCTCTCACTCGGGAAACCAAGATTCGAATCCTCAGTAAAGAGATATGTGGGTTCCAAAACTCTATTTTGGAAAGTGAAGAAAAGATCAAGCACCCCCCTCCCCCTTTCCTCACACCCAGCATGCCGTAAGAAGCCACTAACTATGTATGTATTCTTAAAATTCAGAATGCATCTTTAAAAGAGACCCCCCCCCCCCCCAAAGTCTACATGTAAATAAGTCGGATCTGTAAAACGGATGTGCACGCAAAACTCAAATCCAGGAGTAGACGAACTACTAAAACGTTTCGCGGGAGTTTACAGTCGGTGAGAGCTCAGGACAAGAAGAGTAAGAAGTAAAGTGATGATTTTTTAAACTTTTTTTTTTAACTTAAGGTAAAAAATATAACTGGAACCTGTATAGTCCAAGGCCTTGCGTGGCCTTGCGATTTAAAAAAAATGATCTGCCTGATTGGCAAGGAACCAACATTCTTAATAAAAATGAGTCAGAACTGTGAAACAGATGTGTACGCAAGACTCAGTTTTAGGAACAGGACTGGAGTCCAGAAGTGGACGAACAGCCAGAACTTTCGCCGGAGTTTACAGCCAGTGAACGCGAAGAAGAAGAAGAAGAAGAAGAAGAAGAAGAAGAAGAAGAAGAAGAAGAAGAAGAAGAAGAAGAAGAAGAAGAAGAAGAAGAAGAAGAAGAAGAAGAAGAAGAACAAGAACAAGAAGAACAAGAAGAACAAGAAGAAGAAGAACAAGAATAAGCAGCAGCAGCAGCAGCAGCAAAGACCCTCTTACACCGCACCTAAGTGGGATCAGTACAGAACAATATAGACAGTCCTATAAACCATTTAGAGAGTCGCCGTGGCGTTAGCGGCTAGACGCCCGCCTGCGGATAGGAAGGTCGTGGGTTTGCGTCCTGACGAAGCCAGATTTTTTTTTTTTTTTTCAAAAATAATCTTGACTTCCAGGTCTACCCAGCCGTGAGTGGGTACCAGGTATGGTCCTGGGAAGTAAAGGCTGCCGGAGTGATGCTGAACACTTTTTACGCTATGTGCCCATTGATCTATAAAAAATATAGGTCTAGCCCTATATTTCCAATACGCCTAAAGGCGTGGAATAGGGGCCCTTACTTTATGAAGAATTTCATGACGTCACTGAACTAATAGACATAAAAAAACAGTAGAAGCCAACAATGTTTTGAGTAAGAAGTTAGTAGTCAGTGAAGTCTTCACAATTCTTACGATAAGATGAGACCTAGTTAGCGATGTCTAGGCAAAAGGAGCTCGTTTAATTATATCTTTGGAGAATCACGAGACAATGAAAGTAATCCACGATGTCTTGGGAAAGACCACGACCCAAACAAACATGAACTAGTCCATGATGTTTTCTAAGAAACCACTTAACAACGGAAACAACTCAAGGGTGCCTTGGGAGAGACCCCAAGACAAAAAGAACAGGTCAGTTGTGAGTTGGAAGAAACTACAACTCCCAAAAAAGAAATATTGTCAATTATGTCTTGGTGCGAGATCACAGCAGCTTGGTCTGAAAATCCATAAAGGAATGACAAAGAATGACAAAGATTTTTCTTAATGACGCCCCACTCCAAGATGTGGAGTCGTACACCTATTTGGGCAGTAATGTAGAAAAAGATGGGGGACCTGACAGAGATATTAAAATAAGAATACAAAAGGCAAGAGGAGCTTTCATAGCAGTAAGGAATTTGTGAAGGTCAAAAGAAATTAAAAGAAATACTATACTAAAAATTGTTAATTCTAATGTCAAATCAGTACTTTTGTATGGGGCGGAAACATGGAGAAAAACTAAGGCAAATACTAATAAATTACAGACATTCATTAACTGGTGCCTGCGCAGAATAGAGGGAATTAAATGGTATGATAGAATAACTAATGTAGAACTTTGGGAGAGAACTAAACAGGCTCCAGTGGACCAAGAGGTGAGGAAAAGACGCTGGCGTTGGATAGGACACACACTGAGAAAACAGGAGAACAGCATAACTAGAATGTCTTTGCATTGGAACCCACGGGGGGGGGGCATAGGCATAGAGGAAGGAATGAAGTTAGAAAGATGGGGAGGACATGGGAAGAGCTTCATGTAATGGCGAAGGATAGAACGACTTGGCGTGAGTTGGTTGAGGGCCTATGCTCCATTGGGGGATAGAAAGGCAGAAGATGTCTTGGAAGAGATTGCTGCTCAAAGGAAGCTAGTCAGTTGTGTTTTTTGAACAAACCACGGACAAAGAGAACTAGTCTTTTATGTCTCTCAAGAAACTACGACACGAAAGGAACTAGTCAAAGATGTAAATTGAACGCCACTTCATAAAGGTCACTAATCAATTCTGTCTTTGAAATGATCACACTACACAGAAAGTGGTGAATGACGTCTTGACCACACACAAAAACTAGCAGCTTTGGGGAGTAAAATCGAGCCATATTTAGGAAAACTATTGTTTACAATCAAGTCAACCCTCTTAAACGCCTCTTAAATCATTCAGTGCGTAAAAATCCTTGATGTCTGTCACACACACTCATTGCAAACGGGGAACTGCGTGGTCTCGAGGTATGTTATTCGCCTTGAGTGCAAGAGGTTCCGGGTTCAATCCCCTGTAAGGGCTGGGTTTTTTTACGTGGACTTGGACTTTTAGTAATTCTCCCAGGTCTATGGGTAGTGAGATCTGACGCCCGTATGCAATGTTGCGCACCTAAAAAAAATCGCTTGGCAGTTGGAAATCGAAAAGAGTAGCCTAACGGCGCTGCCCGGGCAAAATTCGGAGTTACAAATCTACTCAAAGTATTCTACGGATCCTCGCCGGTGCACTGAGCTGAGCTTCTTCGCACTCAGAGTTGGAAGAAGAACGGAGCACTTATGGGTTACTACCAGTATGCCATGATGTTCAAACCCTAAACCTCAAATTCATTGCAAATATTTTTATTTCCAGTGCTCACGTCTGTACGGCCTATATGGTATCAGAGGAACATTCCAAAGAGGACCGTGCAAAAGACGCCATTATCCACGCTTCGAGCCCGATCTTCAATGGCGGCTTGTCCTCGCTCATCGGTGTCTTTATGCTGATATTCAGTGCTTCTTACATTTTCCAAGCCTTCTTCAAGATCATGCTTCTGGTCATCGGCTTTGGTGTCCTCCATGCTGTCTTCCTTGTCCCCGTTATTTTGTCCTTTATAGGTCCTAGCGCCCACGTAAGACTGGACAAGGTCAGCCCTCGTGATCTAAAAGATTCAAAACATCAAAATGGTTCCGCTGCTTCTCCTTCTTCTGATACAGGGAGTGAAACAGACAAAGCAGACACTAATGATATCAATCTGCCTTCATCAAAGTTTAAAGACGACAACTGGAGTGTGCATTTACATCAGAATGAAAGTAATGGAATTCCAGAAAAAGAAGGAAGGGGGAATAGCGGACTTATTTCAGAAACTGAGTCCAAAAATGCGAAACCAGTCACAAATGGAGGTCACGTGACGTTGATCACAGTTCAATCTCCCAAAGGTCATCAGTATGACAACCGGGGGTTTACTGACGACTTGACAGTGCAAACGGCGCATCTATAACCGTGTAGTGTAGGACGGGTGGTTTGGTGATGACTCTTGGGTGCAGAAGGTAAGCACGTCTGTGGCGGTAAAGTGCAAGGTACTACTGGATTTAGTGATGATTCACGATACAAACAGAACATCAATACCCGTGCAATATAAGACAGTGGGTTAAGTGATAAAACCAACATTGTAGATTCTACAGTTTGTAACTGTAGGATGTCATCGTGGTCATCTTTAGTGCGCTAAAATGTTAAAGTTATATTTTAGTAAATATACCATATTTATTGTTACACCATTATATAATTTCGTAATATTCTTCTATTCCTACTCTTTCCTAATGCAGTTTTTCCTTCCTCTTCTTCTTCTTCGGCGCTCCTTTGATTCATTCCCTAAAATGGCGGCATGCCACATTCTGGCCATAAAATATCCAAAAATATCCGAACGACGGTGTTCGCGTATATCCAAAATACGGACTATCTGCCAAGGAACAAATCGCGGCAAAACTAGGATTATTTGACAATCAATGTCAACATTTGCACACGGTAGTAGTAACAGCCGATAAATACCGACCGTTGACAACAATTTCGAGCGTTTCTGCAGAGACGATACTAGCAGACGATATTAGCGACCGTTGACCAATTTCGATACATTACAGACGATGAAAGCAGATACTGTGTTCTTCCGATTGGGGGATTTAGCAGCGGTAGATGTCAGACTTGTCGGCCAAACGCGATTAAACTCATCGCCGAGCGTATCCCCCGCGGTAGGTGCCTGGGACTCACGAGAACAGTAATTGGAGGAAGTTGCAGGAGATGCGGTAGCTGCCGCTCGTGAGTCCCAGTCATCTAGTTTAGTCTCCATCCGCGCCGCGTAGCAGCGCGGGGAATACGCTCGGCGGTGAGGCACACTCGCAGAAGCAGGTCGGCAAGTAACGTATCGTCGAGACCCTGTCAGAGCCATTTGTTTCGTTATCCGGAGCCGGCACATATATTTTTAGTAGAACTGACCCGCATTCGGATATTTTTGGATATTTTATGGCCAGAAATTGGCCAATTTAGCTCCCTTTTGAACGCTATCATATTAAAGCCGCCATTTTGGGGAACGATTCAAAGAAGAGCCTCTTCTTCTTCTTCTTCTACTTTTTCTTATTCTTCTTCTTCTTCTTCTATTTCTTTTTCTGCCTTTTTTGTATCTTTCCTCCTCTCACCCTTCTCATTTTCTTCTATTTCCTCTTCCTCCTCATCACCATTTTGTTTTGTTTTTTCCATTTATCATCATCATCGTTATTCTCCTACTTTTTCTTTCTCTGTTACTACTATTATTACTACTGCTGCTGATGTTGCTGCTACTGCGGCTGCTACTCATCTACTATCAATTGTATATGAATTCTTTGTTGCTGCAGCGTCTGACTCTGGGAAACAGTTGTCTGTCAGTCACTCACAGGCACCGGAACAATAACTTCTCTTCGAGAGTCGGTATCTTTCAAAACGTCATTAGTACTTATTTTATCCATCCATGGATTTATCACACGTCTCTAAAACCACACATCTCTGCTACTTTCATATAAATATTTACTGATCGGTCAACTTTCCATGGTTCACTTCCGTCTGTCAGGATAGGATTTATATAGCTCTTGAGAATTGTCTTTCTCGCCTCAATTGAAAAAGAAAATTTGTTTAGAATGTTCCTAATTTTATTAAATGCTGCCTTTGCTTGAGCTGTTGTACATTCAACTTCTTTATTATATCATTTATCTGCTATTATCTAGAAAATCGGGGTTTAAGCGGATAATTTAATATTCCCTGAAACTCCAGTATATGAAATGTAGCCACCTTTAGACACCACCCCGCCCCCCCCCACCCGGCCCCCCACCCGGCCCACCCGCTCACCTTATCACCCCAATTATGGAGACGGCACGAACTCGTGCTTTTGTTGTGTGTGTTTTTTTTTTCCGTAGGTTTTCTCATTTGAAATAACGCCTGCCAGGCTTTGGTTGGTCTATAAAAATACGGCGTTACCATCACCTACCCACTAAGCCTCATGGAATCAAGGTCGAAGGGTTGCGATATCCATAGTACCGAGCCAAAGTAACACATGGTTTCTAAATAATAAGAAAGAAATAATAATAATAATAAATTCTCATGCTCACGAGCACAATAACACAATAATACCAGGTAGTCATTTGCTACGTGTACCAACAGTATCTCGTGTAGTTATTCACAAATCGAACTAGTAATCTACTCGTATATCGTTTATAAAGTCATGTGAGGCTGTAGCAGATGAGTCTGGAATAATTCAAACAACATCTTGTCACAAATATGAACTACTATTATTGCCCTCCCAACAGATTGAGATCAAGTCCATGCCAAGCGAAATTAACATTCCAGAGATACCAGACACATCCGTTCATTGTTGTCTACCTTTTTGTCAAGTTACCCGGTAAAAGTAACATTGATTCCCACCCCCCCCCCCCCCCGCCCATATACACACTAGCTCACTTCTGATTGGTATTGTCTGCACCGGTCACCTTGGCACAAGGTTACAGGGTTGTTCCGCAATGCCGTTTATATCGCGTGTTGTATATTTCAGTGCGCAAGCACTTTTAACACTCAAAAAACATGGAGAAACTGGTCCTAACACAACCCCCTAGAGAGTGCTGCAACCTTTGCACATGCATTCTGTTTCTTGGAATTAAAACGTAAATGCAAGACAACGCAGAAAGCAAATAACAGAGCGGGACACATCCGTAACCTTCATGAAAGTCGACCAGCCCAACAAACTTGTGAATGAAAAGTGACCTACTATATTTATGGGAGATTAACGTGAACCTAGCCCAGTTACTCTAGTACCACTGAACGTCTTGTCTACACACAAATCGTCTGACCAGTAATTATCATGTCTCCTGTTATGAAAGTATGGTTTTTGTTGCCTATTTATCTGTGTGTGATAAACCTGTCTCACTACACTTAGTGTACACGAAATCCTGATACTTTGCACTGTTACAGCATTATCTGTAATATTATATTTTGTGCATAATCTTGTAATGTCGGTTTTACTAATATAAACATTAGAAACAGTTTTTTGAAATAGTGTTTATTGTAGAAATTTATAACAGACAAAGAATTTTCTATGAATCATAATATATAATTGACTGTGGTATTCCAATTATTGCTAATACACTTAATCTGTAGTAAGTGTTTCACGAATAGTTATACAGAATTGATTGTGTGTTTAAATTGTTTACAGAATATGAACAAAATTAAAGTGTTCCGAAATGTATTTGATTGAATGTGGTGTTTACCAATGAGTGAACTATATTTTCAAAGAGAGTGTTTCCTAGATCGCAGAGTATGATTTAATGGGGTCTTAAAGTTGTTGCCGCGGCGTCCGTGGCGTAGGCGTTGCGAGTCCGACTCGTAATCCAACGTACCGCGATCGAAACCCACTGCTGGCTGCGTGGATTTGTATCATGGTATGGGGCATCCCATGTCGACCCGGCCTAACATGGATATCAGGATGCCTGTTCTGGGGAAGTAAAGACTGCCGGCGTAATGCTGACCACATTACCCACCTAGTGCCGATGGTCTGTAATAATATGGGTACTCTTCTTATATACCGAATGCGCCTTAAGGCGTGAAAAAGGATCTTTACTTAGAGTTGTAGCCAGTATATGAACAAATATAAAAAGTGTTTGGTGGGTCCAGATCCTTGACTGCATGTGATGTTAAAATGATTGTCGGTATATGTTGGATATCAGGATGCCTGTTCTGGGGAAGTAAAGACTGCCGGCGTAATGCTGACCACATTACCCACCTAGTGCCGATGGTCTGTAATAATATGGGTACTCTTCTTATATACCGAATGCGCCTTAAGGCGTGAAAAAGGATCTTTACTTAGAGTTGTAGCCAGTATATGAACAAATATAAAAAGTGTTTGGTGGGTCCAGATCCTTGACTGCATGTGATGTTAAAATGATTGTCGGTATATGTACTTTATGATGTAATAATTTAAAGATCATTGCATTCTAATAATCAGGATATCTGATTAAAATGGTGTTACGCTGTTACCAGAACAAGTGACAAAGTGGTTAAGCTGTTTGCCTCTCGCTTTGAAGGTCGTGGGTTCGTTTCACTAGCACCGTCGCTCAAGAGTGTGTTTTTATGGAGATAGCTGGTGGATCGTTACTGGAGCTACGGAGATCGTCATTTGTGCGAGGCCCTAGGCAGGGGGCTGGTCGTTCCGTGGAGACAGACCGAGTTATCTGGGACAAAACCAGGTGCAGTGAAGTCGATCCCCACCACTAACCTAAATTTAACTTGACGCGTGGTCCGTAAACCCTGATAAGAGTGTAACATCATCAACAACATCATCATCAATATCATCATCAACATCATCATCAACATCATCATCAACATCATCATCATCATCATCATCGCCATCACCGTCATCATCAACATCATCATCAACACCATCATTATCAACATCACCATCAACACCATCATCATCAATATTATCATCAGCATCATCAATAACATCATCAACATCATACATCATGAACTTTATCATCATCAACATCATACATCATCAATATCATCATCATCAACATCATACATCAACAATATCATCATCATCAACATCATACATCATCAATATCATCATCATCATCAACGTCATCATCATCATCAACATCATCAACATCACCATCAACATCACCATCAACATCAAAATCTTCATCGTACCGTCATATTGCGTGTCGTTGGGTCACCAGTTACTGTTGACTATCTGATCAGCTCCCTCCACATTTGACAGTCAGAAGCAATGGGTGTCATGGTTGCAACAATAGTTGTCGATACAGGAACAAGGATGAGCAGTGTTTCATTCAATCTGATACGGATTCCATTTGTTATACTTTCATGTGTCGCTTCACCAGCGCATCCCTATTATACGTTCATGTGTCGCTTCACCAGAACATCCCTATTATACGTTCATGTGTAGCTTCACCAGCACATCCCTATTAT